GAATTCTTTCCAAATTTTCTAGAAAAAAGTATTCAATAAATTTCTAAATATTTTGTTGATAAAATCTCATGTTCTTTTTATTTGTACATGTACATTTTGTGAAAGTATACTTATTGATTTGATAAACATTTCCTCCAAATTCCATTATCTGTTTACAGCTGCATGAATACATGTTTTACAAGATTAAAACATACTATGCTCCTCCCCCAAATACTTAACCCTCTTAAATCACATGCACTTTATTGCCCCACCATTGGCCGCCTACGATTTTTCGGTCATTTTCCCTTGAACGCCCATGCTCATGTTACGGGCGAAGCTGCGTGGCTGCGCGGCCGAGGGACGACGGTGGAAGCGCACCCTCCCAGGGCGTTACATACACACCTAGTGGTTCGTGTAATTGGGATATGGTGATGCATGCGTAGCTGTCATTTAATCAAGCCAGCCATTAGTACCCTGACCCATTCTCACTTAAAAATAAGGTTGGTCTCATCAAAAATGAGTACCCTGACCCATTCTCACTCTAACATAAGGTTGGTCTCATCAAAAATGATGGCTCAGTGGTCTTGTAACCAGGAGGTCCCAGGTTCAAAACCAAGTCGGTGTGCTTATGCATTTAGTTACAGCATGACTTGTCAATTACCAAGTCCGTTGAGTAACCACACAAATAGGTCTCCCAAGTGCTCACAAGCATACATCTGTTTTCTTACCAGTCTGGTAAAAGAAATTCTTGATCAAAACCTGACAAATTTGTGTGTTTACACCCATAGATATACAATCACTGTCATTCAGGTCGACCCAGCTGAGACCTTTCTCATCTTTCCTGAGTGCTCACAAACATGCACTTGCTTTCTCATATCAGCCAGGTAAAAGACATTCTTCATCATAACCTGACAAAGTGATTAACACCCAATATTATCATATTGTCATTAATGGCGACCCAGCTGAGATCATTCTTATCTCTTAAGTGTGAATGGGGTCCCATTGTGCCACCTTGTCCATGATCGTGTTCTTCAAGAAATGGATTGGTTCCTTTCTGAGGGTTCATTACAGTGATGAAACACACCTGAGCGATTGAGCATTTCAATCATCAAATTGAACCACCTCCCACTTTTTCTCCTTTTCTTCAAATTCTCTTTTTTTTTCTACACGGCCATCGTTAATGAAGATGTCAATTTGACATTCAATGACCTTTCCAAAATATCATAAAGGTGGGCTTGAGAGAAGCATATGCCCAGGTGCCACTGATCACAAAACATCCTGTTTGGCAACTGTCCAGTTCTACATTTGTTGTAAAGTGGCAACCAAAGAAAATCATATACATGTATTGTTTTTGTTTGGCTAGGTTTTGGTTCATTTTTTTGTTTCTGTTTGTTTGTTAGTTTATTGTACCTTAGGTGCAGTTCATTGAAAATGACCATCAAAATTTGAAATTGGAAAACACTCTAAAAAACATTTTTTTTTTAAAGGTTGCCCGGCTGGCAACCTAAACAAAATGTTAAAAGTAAGCAAAACCCCAGCGCGGCAGGATTTTCCATTCCATAATTTCAATTCATTTTTCTGCAAAATTTTAAATTGATATAACTACCGGTACAGTATATATCGAGGCTAAAAAAAAATCCATTTCCATTCATATAATATCATTTTCTTCAATTTTGATATTTTACTTCATAAATGAGTATCATTATTTACCCAGCCCTCGGTTTATCCATTTGGATACAACCCCCTTCTTAGCTAATACCTTCAATATCACAAAATGGATAAATGGTAGATTCATCAAATGATAATCCTGCTACTCGTAAGTAAAAAACCAATTTCAGGATAATGACTAAATCAGCAATATTGCGCATATATTAGGAAACATACGACATGTACATGTACGTAGGCATACAGTCAGCTCCTATGCATACACACACACACTCATGACTAAAGCATACATTGGATAGTCTCTGACAATACACCATTTTTCATTAAATATTCCTGAAAGGAGATGCAATTTTCTTTCTCTATGTCATCAACCACGAAATATGGGTAATTTCACAATAAATTGTACAGTTATCTTCTTTGCTATAAATTCCTACTGAAAATGCATTACTGCATCTTCAAATATGATACACTATTACAAAAATTATCAGCAAATGTTACAGTACAGGGTCTGAAAAACAAGCCTATATGCCGATGAGTCACTGATGTAGGGAGTCTTAAGGATAAAAGCATGCTGGCCCATTCGCCTCTCTCTCTCCCCGCATCATCGCCATGCATGGCACAAAACCGTTTAAATACCACTACCCCATCTGCAACCTGTACAAATGCATTACCGCTACTCCAGCTTTCTGCTTCCCTCTCCTACAGGCCAAACATGCACGTGGGGACTTATGCCCCGACAACAAACGACCGCATTACAAAACACCGGCGGGTCGGATTTCTGCCGTTTCTTATTCATTTGGATAGAAATTGCCACAGACGTGGCGACCTGGGGCAAGATTTTTCTGATCCGGCGATGGAAGAAGAGGGGGAGGGGGACAAAATGGGTTAATGCCGAGATGGAAGAGAAAGGCCAAAATTATGTGAGATGGGAGTGTGTGGGTGAGAGGGTGAGAGGGAGAGAGAGGGGGAGGGAGGGGGGAGGGAGAGAGAGAGAGAGAGCCAGAAATTGAGGAGATGGTGATGTGAGGAAAATATCAAGAGAGTCTGTTATGCACAAAAAAGAAACAGAGACAGGAAGTCATCAAGATGAGAAGACGTCATAATGTATGAATAACTGAAGAAAGAATCGTGATAAAAATGAGAGAGCTAGAGAGAGAGGGGGGAGAGAGAAGAGGTAAGACAGACGGACATGCAGAGGGACCGAGACAGACTAAGAAAAGACAAGGAGAAGACGTCATAACATATAAATAACTAAAGAAAGAATTGTGATAAAATAGAGAGAGAGCTAGAGAGAGAGGGGAGAGAGCGCGAGGGAGAGAGAAGGAGTAAGACAGACTGACAGGGACAGAGGAAGAAAAGACAAGAAGACGTCATGACATATGAATAATTGAAGAAAGAATCGTGATAAAGATGAGAGAGAGCTAGGAAGAGGGAGAGTGAGAGAGTAAGAGAGAGAGAGAGAGAGAATGAGATGCCAAGCACCAGAAAGAGATGGAGGAAAGGATCTGAATGACGTAAATAAAACAAGGAAGTTGAATAAATTTTAGAAAAAAATAAGGATGGAGATGAAGACGGAAAGTAGACATCAAATGACTGAGTCAGTGCTCAGAAAATAGGCCTTGGGATGAACGAAGAAGCTCTCCAGGAATGAATATCACGGACGACGAAAGAGCACTCCTCCGTTTCCGACAAGAAGCCTCAATCCACTCCTATTAGGAATCTTGATTTTCAGAACTGGGGCCAGGGATGTCGCAAATGGAAAGATAATTCCGCAAAATAAGATCGGCTCCAAAGTAAGCACACTCGTACTGCACTTTTTCTTATGCATCTCAAGGATTTTTTAAAACCTTTTTCCAGCATTGACTGCATATTTCCTTCCTCCTTTCGTCGCTAGATCTACAGTATGTAATTCAACTTGATGGCATTCATGCACACTGATTTGTCCAAATGTCAAATGCCAAAGCTTTCAATATTCTCTGTATTTTGTTCATCTTACTCTCTCCCAACCAACTTGAGACTAGCCCCTTTTGTATTATATAGAATCTACACTTTATCCTGTACAATATCTTTTGCCCAAGAATGCTTTCAAAGTTTTGCATTGCATAGTTTTTGTGATGTGGAAAACTGTAAATTGGTAATTTTAGCATCAAGAAGACACAGCCATGCAAGTGAAGAAAAAGAAGAAAAAAATGATGCAGTGTGTGATCTTTCATTGCAATACACAGAATGTCCTACTACATTTTCCTTCACAAGTGTGCATATTCAGTAAATATCAAACATATTGTTGAATTCATTTTGTAAAATATATTACAAATTACACTACAATATTATATTTTAGATGGATATTGGTTAAAACTACTATCATATGCTACAACGAATGCATGTTACATTCATGCTAATGGCTATAAATAGAAGAGAGACAAGTTTCAAGAGGCAAAGCAAAAAAATGTAATCATCGCAATTGCATATAAAGCACAACATGTTGTCTGTTCAGAGCCAGAAGGGCGTTAACTCCGAATTAAAGAATATGAATTAATGCCCTTCTGGCTCTGAGCAGGCAATATTCTGAACGTTTTTCAAAAACAAAACGTCTACTCCAACTCTTCACGATTCTTCCCCCCTCAAGGCTCGTTCAGACCCGACGAGGCAAAACAGTGGTGATTTTCTTTGAAAAGACGTCAAATGTAACACACTTCACATTTCTGTTTCTTACAACACAGAGCTAAGTGTAAATGCAGAAGTCCTTTGTTTCACGCAGTTGCCATTCATTTACTCGTTAAAAAAACAGCAGCATTTTACTGCACCATCCAAACAAGCCTTTATGGGCGTGTTTATGCTTAACTTTTTCTGGCCAGAATCAGGCATCTTTTACGCGTTTAGTTTAAAACACGGTTGCGTCCATGCTCACTTTTGTAGAATCACCGAAAAACGGCAATCACGATCACGATCGTAAACTCACAAAAAGATGCGTTTACAATTTGTAAACGCATTTAAATGGGGTCAACGCACTGACCTCTAGTGGGTCTACGTAGCATGCACAGTGCAGGTTGCGAATCCAGCTGCAAGGCCAATTACGGCCACACAGGGTGAATTGCCTGAAGGAGCCAGAGAAGTGAGCATAAACCGTACACCGTGGAACTGTGATTACGATGAGCGTTTACGATGTGCGTTTCAGATCGCTCATTCTACCTTCAAAATCAAGCATAAACGCAGCCTAATAGAGGTAACATGCATTGGTGCAACTCAGTGAATATGTGAATAGGATCAATCATAAATAAACATTTTGTTCAGGTATTCATTATTCAAAATAAAATTGGGGTAAACAGGAATTAAAAAAGGGGAAACATGCAACATACCTCTTCTTGAGCTTCGCTCTGATTCTGTACATGTGTCTGTGTCGTCAAATTTATCTTGGACCCCTCCTCCACTCGAACTGTAAAAAAGGAAGATAAAAAAAACAGAAATTAATTAAAGGGAATTCCTACCTTTATGTACCGGTATTCATTTGCGGTAAAAAATGTGTATTCTTATAAGAAGGGTTTAACTGTTTATGACTACATGTATATGTTAATAAAAATAATAATAATAATATTTAATTTTTATATACACCTGTAGCGCTTAATACAAATGTCTCTAAGCGCTTTACAAATATACTATTACCCCGGTCATTGGATTCAGTGCTTGCCCGCACACTTATGTAACTGATGTAACTGATTATTTAGAGCAAGCTTGGCATATCAAAAAAATCATGCAGTATATAAGAAAATATAATAAAATTAGATACTTTTTAAATTCTGATACAATGATCGTGAGTAACTTTTCTGTAGCTCGACGTTGCCCTTCAGGTGAAAAGATATTCATTTAAATTATTACGAAATCGAGAAAGCAAACTCCAAGGCATATACATGTATGTGGACCACAATAAAATACAGAAAATGTGACCGAGATTGCCTTTCAACCCCCATTTATGTGAATAATAATAAACAAATAATTTCCTTTTTTGTGAATAATAATAAAAAGTCATTTTTAGTGTACTACCCAAGTCCGTACAATTCTGGCCAATCATTTACATTTTCAATATTCTTTAAAAAATCATTCTAAAAACTCTTCCAACCATTGTATGCATACATGTACATGTACATGTACATGGACAGACACTTGGTGCCTTCTCTCATAACACTAATTGAACCCCAAAATAGTATTTTTGACCCCAAAATGGAAGTGCGCCTAACCCACAATTTTCAGAAGTCAAGTGGGGCATCGGCACGGGCCTGTACATCTACATCTACTACAAATTAGAAAATTGAATTAAGAGGGAAAGTGGGTCAAGAGCTGCATCTCCCAACAGGCCTGTCTCCATCAGCTCGAGTTTGCCAAATAACCCGCCATTTTAACTACCCCGATCACAAATTAGCCAGTTAATTTGCGTCTTCATCAGCCCACAGTTGCAATTAGCGGGATATTTGGTCAAGAAAATATCCCGAGAAATCTTGGTCTTGTTGCCAAAATATCCCCCTATTTGGGAGATAGTAGGCTAATTTGCGCCCGTTCAAGCTAGTTTGTGATGAGTGTATCGGTCTGGTGAGGACGCAATTTCGAGCTTCGAGATAATATCCCAAGTCTGAAAACACAGGGTTATTTGGCAAAGTTGAGCTGATGAAGACAGACCTAATCGGAGTGCAGGGAGAACTCGCTGGTAATTGACAACAAGGGGGATGTCATAATGTAATTAACTTTCCACATGCATAACTCTTATTGTATGCCTTTAATATGATGTGTGTTGATGACATTAATAGGCCTTCTGGGTAAACATTGATCTATACTGCATCCCGGTTGAAAGAGAAAAAAATTGTTGAAGTATCAAAGTTGTCATAATGTCATAAGGTGTGATGTATGTTTTGTATGATGCATGCATTTTTAATACAATATATATGTTATTATTTTCATCATTTTTTTTCTCTCACAATCTTCTTTCATCCCTTCCTTGCATGCTTGCCTTTCCTTTTTTTTTCTATTGTGGCAAACTTCCATAATATTGAATATTCCTGGGTCTAATACTAAACATTTCATATTTCTGTTATGACAAGATATTTCCAAGGAGCACATCAGTATCACTATAATAAACTATTTCCATCTAACATTTTATCAATTTATATAAATTACAATTTTGCTGAGTTATATGCTAACATTTTTTTTCTACACCCTTTAAATTTGTACTTGCCTGGTTGATTTGTCATAAAATAAAATTATTCATATTATTATGTCATTTACTGTATATGACACTAACGTTCAGTGCATAGGGACTTTACAAGTGTAATGCACTACATGTTAACTATTTGTAAGAAATTACAATTACTATCATTATCAAAATCTGGCTTATTTCATATTCCATGTTTTAGACATTCCTACATGTACTTGCAGCATGGGGGTTTCAACTTGATGTCAGTAGAGCATTGTGGTTGATACTACTATTTAAATGGATCATTGAATAGGGGGAGGTTTCACACCTCCTGTTCAGTGATAAAGTATTCAAACCATTGTTCAAGGAATCACAAAAGGTTCAAGGCCAGCTTGTGAATACTGGGTAGCTATTAGTCTGGATTCCAGACTTAAAGATAAGGTTGAGTTCTGGGAAGCGGTGAAAGAAAAATAATTTGTGAGTGTTATCGTTGTATTATGCAAGTGGGGAGGAACAGCAGATACATAGACCTTATGTTCCCTGAAAAGCATGGCTCTGTAAATGCCTCAATATTCTAAATATGGCATGTAACATCATAAAAATCCGGATGGATTTTTACGCCACGTGTTCGTGTAGTCCCATATACATCTTTCTGTGTACAGTGCTTGTAACTTTACCAAGACTGGGCCATATTTCTTATCATTTGGATGATTCCAGGACCTTGCAATACACACCAATACTTATATGCTAGATGATCAACCTTTTTTGATCTATTCCACAGCATTTCTTTCACAATGCAATCGTGTGACCAGAACTCAATTTTAGCTTTAAAGTCAAAGAAAGTGGAAATACATGGACATTGCTCCAACATGAAGCCTCGCAAGGACACAAAAAGCCATGTAAATGTACGCATACATGTACAACATATAAGGCATACATATGTGTATATATAGGCCTAAAATGACAATCAAATTCAAAATCATCTTTATAATAATCTACATCTCCCACATGTACATGTACATGCAGATCTCAATGTAAACAAGGTCCATCTGTAGCTTGCAGGTCACTGGGGCTGACTGACTGGACTGGTTCTGTCACCGATGCAAAGAATGCGTACATATTTACACAATGCCATCCACAAATGATAGCACTCATAACAGTATTATTGCAGGGCAGCTCTAAAAATCCTGTTCAGACGAGCAACAAATTTTTTGTGAGGTTTAGTACGAAAAAACATACATGTACACTTTGTACAGCTACATGTACATGTATTCAAAAATTTCTCGAGAAGTAATTAATTTGTTTTAGTCTAAATGATGTATTAAAAAAGTTAATAGATATCGACAGAATGCATGGCTACTAAACAAAAATTTGAGGGGGAGGGGATATGGACTGAAATGTTTGCATCTACCGGTACATTGTATACATGTATGTATTGAGCCTTATATTATGTAGATATTTGGGGGGTCAAGACCTAGATTACTGCATGAGTGCCCATGTCTCCCCGGCGCCTGTTACTAGTGTTACTGTCAAGTCCTGCAGAATGCCATAGAGCAAAGCGGAGGTTTCAGCATCATTTCACAAGGAAACTAGATAAAAGAGTCAGGATCCACTCTGGTTGTGCATTTTGTATTGTATACAAACTGCATTAATACTAAAACCAGGGCCTAACGCGAGTTTGCAATGGTGATTGGCCAGCTACCATTTAAGCTCACAGTTAACACGTCTTGAAACTGACCTTTTCCAAACTAGTTTCTATATATATACGCCTGCAAATTACTTTATACTTTTTCACACATGTGCATGCCCTTTTCTCTATTCAACGATTCTGAATAATGTACATGTATCTTCATTAAAAATTTAAGGAAAAAATCCTGTCGTGTGAACAGACCATTACGAAGAGCTGTGTTCGCATGTGTGCATGCCCTTTCCCTACACAACGATTCTTTTCACAGCATATCTTTATACAAGTTTAATATAAATTTCCACAAGTGTGAACAGGCCATTACGGAAGGCTGTGTTACAGATGCTTCCCATAAATGTCTCAGACACATCAAGATTGACTGCAAGATGTAACAAAATCTAAACAGGCTTGAAAAAGTAAACAAGGGGGCATTTGAAAAGTGAAGAATAATAATCCACTGCAGAGATGTATTGATAGAAGAAAAAAAATGTTTCAATGTATCTCTACATTGACTCAATTGGTATGAATATCTGGTAGACATTTCCAAATATAAATGACACTAAAATATTTGTCTTCCTCAGCAATTCACATGGGGATTAAGGGCAATTTTTCCCCTAATGCTATCGCAAAAGCCCCTCTAGCAATTCCAAGATTCGGACAAATACTTGTGTTGAAAATATTCAAAGATATAACGTGAACGAGTATTTTTGTATGTTTATAAACAGTGATAACAAAAATAATTAAAAAGATGTATAGCATAATAATAATAATATTAATAATAATCACGATTGAAAAAGCGGCATCTTCAAAGAATGCTAGAATTGCATGGAAAAGTAGAAATGTTAATGGCTTCTACTGGCTTGTTTTGACATTAACATTCAGTGTCATCCTGATGCAATCAATTAATTAATTAGCTAGCAATTTCAATTTGGCATTACGGAGAGTGCATGTCCATATTCATCACAGTGGACCAATTAAATGTGTGTACCGGTATCACATTTTCATTATACTCAGTGTACATGAACATGTATGTAATGCCATGTACATGTAGCTGGACAGGGTCTGATATTGGATGCTTTGTTTACATTCACATTGGATGGTGTTTGGAGTTTCAGATTAAATACAGATTACTGCATGACTGACCTTAAAGGTAGCTTTGAAGTCTGGTACCATCTAAAAATCAAAGAAATCCTTCTAAATTTTACGATTTAAATAACTAATATGGCAGGTTTTCTGCTTTGAAAGTTTGAATTTTATCAAAATCAATTTTATTGATGTCAGTTTTGTACTTTAAGTTTCAAAATACATATTTCTTTTAACTTCACTTCATCTTCTTAAAAAAAAACATATTTAATAATGCATCTGCAGCCAAAAGATATCTTTTTGTCAACAACCCTTAGCCACTCTTCATGTCATCATGAATTTAATTTAAAGCAATAACATGCCATATTGATCTTGGACATGAAAGCCGGGAGCTACATGAATGACTCTCGAAAAGAAAGCCTTCATCTCTAGCAGATGCCAGGTAAAGCCAATGAATAATCAATCAATTTCATGTACGTGTTTGGCGACTATCAAATATCTAATAAAAACATGTTGGTTATACATGTTTACTAAAACAATGTTCTGTTCACCTGGCATGGGAGGCAGCTGGTACAAGATCGTGTCCGTTCGCAAGAATTGTTTCAAAATATTGATGTAAAATATAATCTTGTTATCAAGAAATATATATCGAATGTGACAAGTTCAACCCAAATGACACTTCTTGTTATTATGAATTAAGGTTCTTTTTGTAGCTGATTCAATGCAATTTACGATGAATGACAAATTGTTGTCTTGTTGTTATTTTTTTCTTCTTTGTTTTCACTGTCTTTCACTGACAAGTAGGGCTTGGCACTTGAAAATTAAAGAGTACCCACTACCCAATCACCTACACTGTAGAAATATTTTGCTCTGTGTGTCTGGTTTCAACTTTCAATGCCAGTATGCTAGATTCAAAATATCAGTTTCAAGAACATTTATTACTTTTTTAAAGAGGTATCAGAAAAATCAAATATACTCTTTAAAAAAAGATAAAAGCAAGTTGTGAGTGGTGTAAAAGAAGAAACTTTGTAAACAGCAATTTAATATCATGTCAAGAAACAAATCACAACAAATTCAGTTTTATGTCGGTGCGAATTTGCAAACATTTCGTGCAAATAAAAATGCTTTCATGGTAGACAAGATGAGGCACCCTTACTGAAAATAGGGTGCCTTTAATATACACATTCTTTTTTGTTTGTTTGTTTGTTTTGTTTTTTTCTGGGTTTTCTTGCTGTTGGTTCCCTTTAACAGGATAGTCCATTTCATTTGTACACCTGTGCACAGCTTGATGCATTTGAAGTGAAAGCGACGCCTCGTCTGAAAGTTCATGGTACTTCACGGGACGAAACAACAAGACGCTGCTCAACCCCTACTGTCCCTTCCTATTTCTCCTGAGATTCCAACTTAAGACAAGATCCGACATCATCTAAGGATGTACTTTGAAAATGGAAAGCAGTTTAAAGCCCCTCTAAAGTGTTGGGAGCCCAACAAATTTCTTGGCAAAATTTCACTTAAACGGTATCATAATGTGAAAGAGGCTGTCATTTAAGACACATTTCTAAAGTGAAATATTGATGAAAGAATTAAAAATCTAGTTGTTTTTTTCTACCTACATGTACTAGACAGAAAACCCAAATAATATAATTTTATCAATATTTGTCTTCAAATAATTTTTTTTTTTTTTTTTTTTGGGGGGGGGGGGGGTGGGAGGGGCTTACCTTTGATGAATAGTCAAATTAATTATAAACATGGATGTGTGCATGTACATAAATGCTGACTGTAAACCTAATTCAGTATTATTGTCATTCTTTTTTGTAGATACTTGTTTCTAAAAAAACTTCTTTTAATCACTTTTGGGGGAGTAATTTTTGCTCGTATTAGTCGTTTCATATTGTGTTAATGCCTGACAAGCATGCAACCACCTCTAATCTACATGAATTTTGACTTGAAGACTACATGTAGTCCAATGAGTTTGTTTTGTCAAGTCCATGACTGGGGCTGGCCCTTCTACCAGCCCCTTTTACAAGCCCTCGTCAATACCCATCTGCGACCTCCACGACGTTGAGTTTGTCACATGTCACCATGAGTTATGAATGTGATGCATTCCTTGGGGCGTCTTCTTCTCTCATCTTGGGCTCGCGCTCTCCGAGCCAGTGTAGCCTCGCTGAAGTTGTTTCAGGCAAAAGAAGCTTCCCATTTCCATTTATTAAAACTAATCCTACAACCTACATGTATCCTTTCCCACCTATTTAATTTTGATCTCCACTAGTACACCAACGTTTCCTCCCCCTACTTACTTGCTACCAGCCGAAGATGGCATGATCATTAAATTAGGCTGGTGAGCATAATTATGGATTTGTTGATAACGACATCTTCGGCGGCTTGAATCAAGTGTTGTTGTTTTTTAGGGAATATAGAGAACTTGTTACTACCGGTATATATTTCCTTATTTCCCTAATTTCATCTTCCAACTCTACTTCTTCCAATATTTCTTTATCTTACTTCCAAAACTCATTGCTTTTCCGCAAAAAAACACACAACACTCTCTTCATGTTGAAGTACACTTCCTGGCACGATTTGTCCTCACAATGGATGTTAGAGCGGTCTAGGAAGCAAACCGCCCCAGAAGACCAAAGACATGTAGATACCTGATGTGGTCTTCTGGACCGGTCCAGAGGTACGCTTCTTAGGTAGACCGGTCTACTGTAGACCAGGAAGTGAGTGAGAACGAGATCTAAGAGCGGTCTAAGAAGCGAACCGACCCAGAAGACCACACACCTGATGTGGTCTTCTGGACCGGTCCAGAGGTTCGCTTCTTAGGTAGACCGGTCTAATGTAGACCAGGAAGTGAGTGAGAACGGAGTCTAAGAGCGGTCTAGGAAGCAAACCGACCCAGAAGACCACACACCTGATGTGGTCTTCTGGACCGGTCCAGAAATATGCTTCTTAGGTAGACGGGTCTAGTGTAGACCAGGAAGTGAGTGAGAACAGGGTCAAAGATTGGTCTAGGAAGCAAACCGACCTAGAAGACCACATACCTGATGTGGTCTTCTGGACCGGTCCAGGGCCCTGTTGCATAAAACTTACTATTGATGGTAACTTTGCCATCAATGGCAACTATATGTACCATGGAAACAGGGCTCAACAGCCAATCAAAATCAAGGTTTCCGTGGTAGTTACCATTGATGGCAAAGTTACCATCAATGGTAAGTTTTGTGCAACAGGGCCCAGAGGTACGCTTCTTAGGTAGACCGGTCTAGTATAGACCAGACCAGGAAGTGAGTTAGAATAGGGTCTACAGTGTAGGACATAATGATGTGGACTGGGTCCTGGTCTAGGTTAAGACTTACTGAAATGAAGGTGGTCTAGAGTCTCCTATACCACCTGTCCTCTCTGGTGGGAGCTGCGAGTCTCCTCTCGTGTCTGTTGTGACCGATGCCGTGTCTGACCCATTGGTGCTGCCCTCTGCTGGCACCAGCTGCAAAATACAATATAGATAGACATGGTATAAAAGGATAGACATGTTACTGATTGCTATGCGAATTTAATAAAACATGCAATATTGCAAGGCAAGGATAGTTATTGTAAATACTGTCTGAAAGGAGATACTCTGGCTATACATTTCTTCAGATTTTCATATTCTGCACATGTACATGCATGTGCATCACGAACGACTACAGATTGCTATTCATTAGGTGTCATTTTTTAATGAAATGGGGGAGGAAGGGGGTGTCTCTTTAATTCTAATATACCAGTACCACATAAAAAATATTTTTGTTGCTCAACTTCTCTGTCATATTCAATACATACCTGTACATGTATCTTGGCTCCGGGAACCAAGGAGTCTATTATTTTTAGCACGGCACAAATATTTAATTTAATGTAAACGTGCTTTAAATTGGTTCTGATTCTTTGTGTGTGTGTTTTTTTTTGTCTTCTTCTATTTTCAGGATGGGGAACAGAGGGTCTCCATATGCATGTGGAAGGTACAACTGAACTAACTGACTGCACACATTGCATGATAAACATTTCACAAATATCTTCATGCACCTGCAATCAGCATACTGACGAGGGTCGGACACATTCATGTATATTGGATCCACCATGTGTATTTTTGTACACAGACTACATGTACACTGTAAATGTACACAGGCCTGTACATGTATGTTAATACAAAGAAGAAGCACCCCTTCCAATCATCTCTCCCCCTCTCTCCCCTTTTGTTACCTTTTAAAGACTTCTCATTAGCAGCCTGCTAAATCCCTCGGATCAACAGTCCCACTAAAGCCCTTTCATTGTTGGGGCTGACCAAAAAGAATGGAGCCTCATTACAATAATGATTACAGGTGCACAATGGTGGATTTTCTTCTTTTGTTGTTCATTCATCCTTTTTTTTTGGGGGGGGGGGGCTTGATACTAAACATCCTTTCTACATATTACATGGACATGCAAAATCTATCTATCTTCTTTAGGAACTGACATTGAATATACCTGTAAGTGTAGGTTATTCATGTTATAAATAGATACGTCAAATGTGTCTATGTTTGAACTCTTTTATAACACCATATTTGAACCTTTGACTCCTCTTCATGTATACATACTGTACATTTTGTCATAAGTTACAAAGTTATACAAAAATAATCTTCCTGCAATAAAATCTGCAAATTACATCATCACTTTAAAGGTAAAGACCAGTTCTGGTCATGCGATTGCATTGTGAAAGAAACCTTGTGGTCTTGTGGAATCGATCAGAAAAGATTGATCATCTAGCATACATGTAAGTATTGGTGTATACTGCAAGGTTCTGGAATCATCAAAATGATAAGAAATTTGGCCCAGTCTTGGTAAGGTTACAAGCACTGTACACAGAAAGATGTATATGGGACTATGTGACACCTGCGCAATATCTATCTGGTCCGGATAGATATAATAATTTACCAAATATATCAATTAGTAAGCGGTTTCCCGGCAAAATTTGTATCATCACATATTAGTCAAAACATATTCTTTCACATGATTGGTAATAAGAGCTTCCATTTCATTTTTTGAGAGGGGGGCGTTTCCAAAACTGGTCTATACCAGTAATAACAGGAAATAAAATTTGTACTTGCACACACCAGCTGTAGACACCAATGTAAGGAAACATACAAAAAGCGATAGCCAACACCTCACGTAAGCAAGGGATAAAGTGTTTGCTACAACATGCAAGCAATATTGAAAAAAGATTAATGCCAAAAATGTTTTCCACCGTGATTTGTATGCCCAGCAATTAAGGCTCAATTGGGACTTGAAACTTGGCCCCCGAGGCAACTAACTCTGCGTTCAATCACCAATGCTGCCGCTTTCTAAACACCGCTGGTCACTCTCACCGCGCCGTGGGGGCCATGTTTTTTCTTTCCATATTTGGGCACGCAAAGAGAACACCGCCATCGCCGTCTGAATGCTTTTCATCACCTAAGGATGGAATCATTCGCTGGGAAATGTCAGGCCATTGCCTGGCTTAATAATAATGGATTCGGCTCAAGTGGGCATGTAATCAAAATCACAAACACTTTAGTATTAAACAGCGCTCATCCAACCATGTTTTTTCCACTTTGTTTAATGATTGATTTTGGATCAATGACCACAAATTAGCGCATCAACGATGTATTATTTTACTTAAACACAAGACTATTAACAAGATGAAAGTAGTTTATGTCTTTGGGAAACCATCATCGATTCAGCCTTGAACGGCTGCCATTGAAGTGTTTATCTAATAAACCATTATGAATGAAAGAATGCGCGATTTTTGTTTGTTTTCTGGTGTGTGTTTTTTATAGAGTAGTTCTTACGCAACTATAAATTTACATGTATGTATCAGGATTAAAACCTTAATACAAGGTACATGTATTTACATGTTAGGGAGTGAGTGTTTTGTTGTTGTTGTTGTTGTTGTATTTGTTTGTTTTTGTTAGGTGAAAATGTACATGATCACCTGTAAGTGTATTAATTTAATGTCATAGTGATAGTACATGTAGTAGTAGTTATTCCAATAAGAATAGATGTCCATTAGTTATTCCTATAAGAATAGATATGAATTCAATATTGTAAAAAAATAGATAGGGTACGATTTTGCTATCAATATATGAATCTACATGTACATGTACAGTAGGTACCGTAAATGTACATGTAAACAATTCTTAATTTGACAATATTTTGCCTCTATTTCCAATTGATAGGATAATATAGTGGTGAAAACTGGTGATGTATTTAAATAACGATGACATCCAGCCTATGTCTGTTTAATGAAATTTGGGAACTTTCAAGTAATTCAATGGCAAATGCTTACACGATGCAAACCAAAGTGCAATCGAAGCTATCCCTTCCAATTCGATAAAAATTAAGGAGGATTAATCCTTATCATTTTGACTCTCTGGCACGCCAATTAATACTGGGCTTTCTTGTCACAGTCAGACACTCAAAGGCCCTTAATAACTTGATCATTTCTTTCCACGGACGATGGAAAATCAATTTCTGGAAGTCTGAAAGCCACCAACTTGGCATCAATTTGATTCTGACGTGCCTTCTGCCACCCCGTACCTCATTAAAATGCACTCAGAGTGGTGGAGGCGAGTGTTTTGAATGGCAATTTTGACTGCTGAATTCTGTTGTGCAATTGGGAATGACTAGTCGGTAATTTAGCAAATTACTTTCTTCAGATTCAGTCATCTGGATTTGTGAGTCGAATGACGTCAAGGAGCCAACTCCTTCTCAGTAGGCCTGTCCTCATCAGCTCGAGATTGCCAAATAGCTTGATATTTCTGATTTGGGAAATAATCCCGACGTTACAAATCGCGTCTTCATCAGCTCGAGATTTGACCTTGAAACTCGAGCTCGAGATATTTTGCTCAGCATTCACGCATAGTGCGAGTCTTCGGGCTGGTGAAGACGCACCGGACAAATAGCACGATATTTTGCAAACTGGTCCAAGATACATGTATCTTGGGATGATTATCTCGACCAAATATCCCGCTAATTGAAGCTTCAGGCTGATGAAGACACAAATTAACTGGATAATTTGCGATCGGGATAGTTCAAATAGCAAGATATTTGGCAATCTCGAGCTGATGAAAACAAGCCTAGTGGTGACGACTTTGGCCCATGCATGAACATGTGCAGGTTAACAGTAAAGAGTTCAAGTGTAACATTCAAGTGTAATCCAAATGAAGCACTTTGGAAAATGTACATTTTTATGCCTCACTTGAATCATATCATTAACCTTTTGACCTTTTGCTCAATAAAGATTGGTATACATCATGTACATGATACCTAGTACATGTACGAATGTACACTGTTCATGAAGCTGTTAATGATGTTCCATAAAAACTGCCCTACACAATTGGACTTCAACTCCTATTCCTCAGAATTGCACTTGTTTGATTCTTTGGGGTGCAAATTATTTTTCAAATTCCTCACTTTCCTGGTACATCAAATTTATTTATTTTAATCACCGAGAGGTGTGTGATTAATCTCTTTTTCGGACAGTGAAAAAAATGTTATTGATGGGAATAATTGACGCTTCAGCTCTGGAATAATATAAAGAGCTCTAACAAAAAACAAATTATAAATATGAATGATAAATACACTGTAATGAAGTCTCTATTGTAAAATGAAAATGAAAACAATACAGTATTCTGACAGTGATTTCATATTTGGGGAAGTGATGAAGAAAATGATTTCGGCTACCCGAGTTCATAATAAAACTGTCAAACAGATACTCACCCATGACACAACACGGCCATTAAAACAAGGTAATTTGGTGTCATCATCAACTATTTCTTCTTTTACAACTCTGTGGAGAGGAAAGAGAAAGAGAGAGAGAGAGAGAAAGAAAAATGATTAAACACAATATTCAATACATGACCGCCATTATGAATGGCATGTTTGTAACTTCAATAACAAAATATAATTGTTGTACATCATGTACATGTACATGTAAGTATATTATTTTTATGATAACACTAAGACTTGCATTGTGCTAAATAAGGCGTACAATTTACAAACTGTAGATGGCTGTACATGCACATTAATTAAACTAATAGAACTCTTCCAATTAGAATTAGAATCACCAAATTTACCAAAATCATTTATCAGTCTAAAAAAAAACAACTTTAATATTTGCAGATAAACCAAGAGAAATACACAGTGTACATATAATTATAAAGGAAACTAGTACAAACACAAATACAATGTACTGTACATAGAGACAATCTTCAACATCAGGTGGAGGTACACTGTACATATAATGTACATGTATATAGTGTAAATGTACATTATGTTTAACTCAACAGCAAAGACTGATCAACTACTCAACAGAGAAGATGAATTGTGTATGATGGTAATGAATTCATCTCTTTTCACCATGAATCAGATGATTCAGATCTCATTCATTTGCATGCAGTGTACTAGAGTGACTGTGTATCCATGACTCATCACTGTCAGGTCAAACAAGGGTCAAGTGTGTCTGCATCCAGCATCAACCCAGACAAATGACCATTTTCTCCACGTTAGGGTGCAATTAATCCATTAAAAATCAATTACTGTAGGCTTTTAAAAAACCTGCATTACAGGTAAGTTTTGTAAAAGCCTAATTGATTTTGAATGGATTAATTTGTAAGTACCCCAGTAAGCAACCAGGGGACCGATGGCTTTATCCTCTCAGAGGTACTTGGTAATGAGGATTAATGCTTGATTAATGCCTAACCAATGGGCACCATTGCATCGAACCAGGGACCTTAGGAGGTCACTGCTCTACCACTGAGCCATTGCGCCTCCTGCAATGCACTGTAAACCCTTAAAATGGCAAGTTCAAGGTTTAGGGTCATTTGGCGCCCTCTATATTACCAAGTATTGTGGAGTTCTGAATATAAAGATGAAGTTCAGTGGGGTGTTTCACAACGATCCTAAGTTGGACTTATCAATTATGGAAAGCCGTTTTTAATAGCATCTTTGAAAATAATTTGTAAAAGTTATTTTTAAAGGCATAAAATGTTGATTCAAATCATTCATATTTTCTATTATTATGGGAGATTTCATGTTCTTGATCAAGAATTTATGAAAAGTCTAAAATATTGTATTTTTTGCTTTTAAATATAAATATAAATATTTTTAAGGCTACAAATGCTCCATAATTTTTAAGTCCATCTTGAAGTTAAGTTTTATCTTTGTGAAACACCCTCCTGGTCATGCCATCAGAAAAGATTGGTCATGCGACTCATGCCATTGGAAAAGATTGATCGTGTGTACAAGTAGGTAATCATGTTCTGTGAGGTTTTAAAAATCGTCAAAAGTATCAGAGTTGGCCCAGTTTGACTACAAGTCACATGCACTATTATACACACTATATACATGTACATGTATTTATGGTACCAGGGAAAAAAATATTTAAAACATTAGGGGGCTACTTTTCAAGCTTGCTTGCATGAAAAAAACACCATTTAATTTGTTTGCATTGAACTCTAGATGCAAATTTTGGGGGCTCTTTGATGACTTTCGGGGGCTCTTTTTGGCATTTCGGGGGCACATTCGCCCGAAGCCATTGTGTATTTTTTCCCAGTATGGTACAATGGTACATGTACTACAAAAATAAGTGGCATGAAAGTGTGGTCCACAACCTTTAGCTGTTACTTGTCAAATATGTTAAATATGGGGGCAGTTGAAGAGTCTTCCTTTTCAAGGGACTTTCTTTTTCATATGATAATCTTTTAATACCTTAACTTGCAAAGAATGAAAAAGCTCACTGAAGACAGCAAGACACTAATTATGTTTCACCTTTCCCTAGAGTTCAACCTTCTCTTTAAATTGCCATCAAACATGTCCCTCCACTCCATATAAATGTACATGTACATGTATCTGAGCTCTAGTACATAATATTAATTATTAAAGTTAACTTACAGTACATACATGTACATGTACACATGGAATGCACTGATCTACTGATCTACGAAAATACTTACAGTGTGCACGAACATGTACTGTACACTGTACATGTACATGTTTTAGATGTGGCTGGTAAAAAAATAGGGAAAATAGCTTGGACTTTCCTAGATGCACATTACATTTGTTGGTACTTACAATGTAGCTTACACATGAAGGTCATTCAAGTGCATACATGTACTGTGCATACATGTACTGTACATGTGTAGCAGTAGCAGTAGGTCTACTATTCATAAAGCGTCTGTCTGTCACATACACGTACATGTAATATTACTGTGAGTCTGAATGACATTTCTGCTTTCTAGGTCACACAGTCTTGTACATTTCTGCATTCTATAAATCTAGGTCATATACAGGTACATGTACAGTATGTACATTACTTCAATCTACATGTACATGTAATTGTAGGTCATGGAGATGCTGGTAAAAGGACTCAACATATTATGAGGGTCAAAGGCTCCACGGGCTTCTACAAAATGGCCCATTAATATTTATTTTTTCAAGAGATAACCCTTGATTTTTCAGGAAACCATTCAAGCTCATACATGTACATGTGGTGCAACTTTGAGTATTGGAGCATAAATAGACATTGCAAGCCATGGAGGAGAGCCTACTGTATATTATATGTATTTGAAAATGAATACAATTTTTGTTTTTGCACATGAAGTATATTGTAAGAATACAAAGGAGTGTGTCTCCACATAATCAAGAGTATAATACATGTTGTTCTACATATTGGTACAAAAATCATACAAGAACATGCTTATTGCTTACATGTATCTAATTAAATTAAAGAGCAACTTGTCTCCCTCAAGAGAATACATCAAGGAGACATGGAACAGGCAATTTAAACATGTGTCAGTACTGCCTACTGGATCAAATATATTTTTGGATGGCCGATCTACATACTACCGGCAATTACTAAAATGGGCAAGCCGCAATAGTCACAATACCTTTCAAATGACCTGACATTTAAGGTCACAGTCTAGTGGATAATACATTGATTCTTTCAACATCTTCTATTATAGTCAATTAGTCATCATATTATTCTCGTCTGTATTTTCTTATTAACAAAAAAATAAATCATGTTTTGCTAAGATACACACCTCTAACTCTACGATCCTTCAATTTAAATAAATAACTGTAACAGTGCCATCCAAGGGCTGACCCTTTCACACAACACAGGTGATTGTTCCACTTCCAATGGTAATACATTGTACTCAGAGATTACCAAGTGAAGAAACCATTTGGGTGTGAAACAGACATAGACCCAAATGTTACAAATGGCAACAAGTACAGTGGTGCACATATAATCTTGTTTTACTAACATACTTTCCACTAGGCCTACTATTCATTATTTACTGTCCTCATGGTCCTTCCTCAGGCACTTACACTTTTCTTTATGAAGTTCCTTTCCCAATTGAAATTTTTAAGGATTTATTTGCCAGACTATTTAAGACAATATTTCCCGATCTTCTCCAAATTATTAAAACAATTATCCTATGAAGGACACAATAAAGAAATGAAATCACTTTTAAACCTAGACCTACATTGTACACTTCATCCATTGTTTAAGATCCTTTTCCTTTTCACTTCTTTGTGTCTTGATTCATAAATCATTGCACATTTGCCTACTACAAAAAGTATTATGAATGAACTTGAGCGTCTCATTGTCTTGTAAAAATTGAACTTACATGTAGATCTACATTGTTAAAAAATATGTCATACATTGATGCATGGATGGGGTGTGACAATGATATGTCATTACTGTTACATACATGTATCGTAAGTTTGTAGGTCTACATGTACATGTACATACATGTACTTTTATTTTTTTTATTTGAGAATGATTCTGCGGCCTCCTTCATATTATTAATTCAGTTAATTTAATGTACATTTACACTATTCAATTAATTAATTGAATCACTAGACTTGGATGTCCAATGATGACAATGATCATGTTTATCATCATTTCTGGATAACACTTGACATTCATCAATGTTGCTACGAAATATTTTGGCCAGGGGAGGAAGGATGATAAGCCAATCTGCATCTGCACTGCAGTGCAGAATCACCCAAGCTCATCTTGTAAGTTGTAGTGTGGGGAGAAGTCTGCACACACATCAAGTCACCCCGCCAAAGGCTAGCCGGTGATGCGGGGACGGTGATGGCTTCACGTCCGTATACAGTCACATAATCTCCATTGATAATCGCCGTAAAATCTCTTGTGTCTCCACAGTAATCCACACAAAAACATATCTAAGTGCACATGCTCCTAGATTAATATACATAGAATCATATTTTGGCTTCTTCCAGGCTATGGATCGCTTGCATTTACTAAAATAACTCACCCAAAATCATCGTCCATCGATTTGAAGAAGAATTTGTAGTTCGGCCGATTGAGGACATTCTTGAAATCTCCAAGAGTTACATCGGCGGCAGGGATTGGTAATTTTACGAGATATGGAGTGTCTTCATCATCTATATGATATATAATCTTAGTCTCCTCCATTATTGGAGGGACCTCGTGCACAATATTTGAAATCCAGGGAAGAAAAAGACGGTCCTTTCGTAGATATTTCCGGTAAATTCACGTTTGGTTTTGTAGTCAGTCGACGCTATCGCTGCATACAACTGCACATCTAGCATTGTAACGTACACAAACACCATAGACCTAGCGCCTACGTTCAATCGCTATGCGATTTGTCACACACTGATGTACATGTATGTATACAGTACGGCCATTGATAAACATGAGGCTCTTCCAATGTCTGAACTCCCTCCCTACTCCTAATGCCAAGCCTCATTTGCACATATTCTGTTTCCAGTCACAGCACATCAAAAGGAACATTTTCTCATGAATTTTTCCAAAGTTTATTATTTATCAATTCTTGACTTCATAAACCCTGAACAACATTAACTTTACAAATACCTAACGTTAGAGTCCTAACATAATCTTGTTTCCCGCTCTATTTTTGTTTTCATAATCTAAACTCTGCTATCATTAGTATCAATCACATTTAACTTTTTTACTCAATATCTGAATGAATTCAAGGGGAAATTTTATCAATTGACTTACGATTTTAGATAAATTTACATGTACATCGTGAACTGAAATGCCTGCATTTTACATTCCGATATAATAATAAATCAATGGAATGGGAAGTTAAAAAATTCTAAAAAGTTAATTTCATATGCATATGAAAATATATGCTCAAATTTTTTTTAGATCTATTCTCTTTTCTGCCCATCATTTCTTATTCGGAAAATGCATTTCCTATTTTGCACCTTTTCCTTCCCCTTCTCTTCCTTAGTCTCGTCTTCTTTCCGCCTTCTCCTCCTCGTCTTTCTACTCCTCCTCATCTTCCTCCTCCTCCTTCTCCTCCTCCTCCTCCTCCTTCCTCCTTCTCCTCCTCCTCCTCCTTCCTCCTCATTCTCCTTCTCCTCCTCCTTCCTTTCTTCCTCCTCCCCCGGCCTCCTCCTCCCCTCCCCTCCTCCTCCCCTCCCCTCCTCCTCCGGCTCGTCTTCCTCCTCCTCCTCATTCTCCTTCTCCTCCTCCTCCTTCGTTTCTTCCTTCCCCCCCCCCCCCGGCCTCCTCCTCCCCCCGGACTCCTCCTCCTCCTCGTCTTCCTCCTCCTCATTCTCCTTCTCTTCTGCCCTTCCTCCTTCTCCTTCTCCTCTTCCTCCTTCCTCCTCCTCCTCATTCTCCTTCTCCTCCTCCTATTCTCTTCCCCATCCCTCCTCCTTCTTCAGTCTCCTCCTCCTGCTTCTTCCTCCTTCTCCTTCTCCTCCTCCTCCTCCTTCTCCCCTCCTCCTCCTCCTCCTCTTCCTCATCCCTCCGGCCTTCCTCCTCCTCCTTCTCCTCTTCCTCCTTCCTCCTCCTCCTCATTCTCATTCTCCTCCTCCTACTCCTCTTCCCCATCCCTCCTCCTTCCTCATTCTCCTCCTCCTGCTTCCTCCTCCTCCTCCTCCTCCTCTATCCCTTTGCTTTTCTTTGTCACAAAGAATGGGCTAATGGGAAGTTGGACTTAACAATATATTTAAAAGGAAAAATTATTTTAGACTTGATTTATGCCTTTTAAAAATAGCGTTTAAAATAACGTTTATAACATATTTTCTAAGATGCTAACGGCTTTTCATAATTGTTAAGTCCAACTAAGAGATAAGTTCAACTTAGGATTTCTGTGAAACACCCCCCCCCCCCCCCTGGCCACCATGGTTGTCGCCATTATGCCGCCCACCCTTTCCCCTCCTCCTTATATAAAAATTAAAATCTTTATCAACATTTTATTTAGATTTAGTTTTAAATTTTGCGTATAGGAATGAGATGGGTTCATCAATTATTATTATATTATTTTCCTCCTATTTGTGAAAGTAAAGTTCATCGTAAGTTTCTTTTTGTAAGTAAAATTATAGTTGCAAGCAACTAAAACTTTGATTGTTTTTGGTTTGATTTATTAGTCAAGTTCAGTGGAACATAAATACAAATAGTAACATGATATTGTAAAATGAAAATGAAATGATAATAATAATTACTGGAGAAAATGACCCGTGAAAGCTGAAAAGCTTTATGACAATGGTGTTCTGAAGACCAAGTATGTTTTTAAACTCCTCCAAGCAGACAGATTTCTCTGTATTTATAAAATTTTGAAAGATATAGTTCTAGATCCTACTGATACTTGTTCCCTGTGCACAAGCAGAATCCCTCACCAAGCTGAAAAGAAGAAGAAGAAGAAGAAGAAGAAGAAGAAGAAGAAGAAGAAGAAGAAGAAGAAGGCTGAAAAACAGACGAAGAAGAAGAAGAGGAGGAGGAGGAGGAGTAGAAGGAGCCTTTCCTTTGCAGCCCTCCCCCTCCCTCCGCTGCTGAAAAGCGAAAAGCCTATTCACGCTTCATAATTCTCATTCAGAAGAATGCGACATTATACATTTCATTTTTTCATCATACATTCTATGAATATTCATCCAATGTACTTTAGACAGCAAAATTATTTTGCTATATCATGGGATATATCAATAGTATCAGATTAATTATTTAATCTGATAATATCAGTGCAAATGCAAGAGAGAGAACGATATGAGAATTTCTTATGTACGTATTATTCAATTAATAAATTATGGGGAAAAAAGAAGAAGGTTTGTTTAAAACGAGAAAAAAAAAGAAGATTTGAGAAAAGAAGAAAGGAAGGAAGATAGTAAGAAAGAACACGATCTCACAAACTGCTTTCATTAAGAACGTTAACAAACTTGTGGGAAATGGGATTATTGTTTGTGAGCTAAACGAGAAATGTGCCTCCTTTATTTTTAGAGGATTTGAAATGCTATCTGACATCGCAATGTAGATTTAGGAAAATGTTTCTCTCTCCCATTATTTTCCTCAAAAAGACGAAGACAGAGGGCGCTATAACATTTTTGTTTCTCGGGAATTCCCCATCCTTTTACCAAACGCGAGTGTGCATTGTCCGTGTGCATTGTCCGTGTGTACTGGGTCTTTTGCCCGGGTCTTTTGCTACAAAACGATTGAAATTTGAACGTTTCATCATCAAACTAAGAGTTGAATACCTAATATTCTGTAACATTAAAAACGGAACACCGTGCCAGTAAACGAATGAAGATCTAACTGATGGAAGACAAGGAGCTAAATGTTTGAGAAAACTTTACTTTTTTTGAGAAACCCGCAAGTTGATGTTAATGTTATATCCTCGTTTTGTTCAGGATACAATACAGTAGCAACAACTGACATCCGCCCACCACTTCCACTGCACTGCACTCTGCTCTGCTGGCCTGCTGTATTTCCATTGGCACTACAACAGTATCTCTGCATTAATATGAGCCTTGTGATTTAACTTGGGTAAGTTGTTATGATATAAAGCTCATCTAATCAATTCTCACACAGGATAACAATTTAGTTAGGTTCAAACTTGTAAAATTTGTTAGTTGGATTTATTTTTCATTGTATTTTTTTTCAATAAAAGTTTTTTGAATGTCACTTGTGAGTTTTTAATTTTAAGACATATTTTGTCGTTTGAACGCTCTCCTCCAAGTAGGAGAGGGATTCTTTGATGAAGCCAGATGCAGTCCCGGAAGAACGTATTAATGTTAATGTGGTTAGATGAGCAAGTGTGCACTTGTAAAAATGACGCCTGGCTGGAATGCTCCCCAGGGAGTGGAGAATTTGCATACATTGTGTGCGGGTAAGCCTGAATCCGATGACCGGGGTAATACTATATATCTGTAAAGCGCCTTTGAGAGGGCCTGCGGTCCTGAAAGGCGCAATATAAGAACAAACTATTATTATATTCCCAATGAAATTTGCTGATATTTATTTCTGTTGTCAATAACAAATAAATAGATACCTTGCCGTGATCTACATTCGCACCTCAAGCATGACGCTGGAGCCAGGAATACGAGTGGTCCGTGGACCGGACTGGAAATGGGGCGAACAAGATGGAGGACTCGGCCATCTCGGGACCATAGTCCCCTTCGATACAACAAATCCAAACACCAAGCCCTCAATTGAAGTACGGTGGGACAGAGGACTGAGGGGAGACTACAGGATCGGTTATGAGGATTCGTACGATTTACGTCTCTATGATAATGGCACAGTGGGTAGGTACCTCTTTTTTTTCCTCATCAGCTCAGAGCCAAAAGGGAATTAATTAAAATCATTTGGCACGGAGTTAAGATCGTTCTGCCGCTCAGCAGATGATTCAGTATTAGACAATATTTTGTAATTGTTGTACAATCTATTTTCTGTTTGGAGCCAAGAAGGCATTAGCTCATATACTTTAACACAGAGTTCAATAGTGCCCCTGTGGCTCCAAGCAGACAATATGCTCCAGTGAAATACGCTCCAGTGAAAATTGCTCCTGTGAGTCCAATAGTATTACTAGTTAGAAAGAGTACTAATCACCTAACAAAAAAATGTATAAAACCAACCTTCCCCAAAAAACTTTACCTGGTATTGTTTAGGTATACTGTTATGGAGTTTGGGGAAACGAAGGATAACATAAAACCCCTGTGTAAAAAGGGCTCGGACTTGGGTTTGTAGGACCCTATTCTATGCAAGTGCTTCTCTACATTTTACTGTTCACTGTTCACCTGGGTGGTGGTGAGAGACCAATTTGGGCAAAACACCTTCTCCAAGGATAGAAGCACCGAGCAAGCATCAAACCATGGAAGTTTTATGAGAGTACAAGGCCTTCTCCGGTATCCCACAGTGCTGTCACAGGCTCCAGCAGGTGACATAAAATAATCAATTATTATGACAATGACAATGATGATGATAAAAATTAATTCTTCATTTCCAATTCAGGTGTGAGCCACGTAGATGTCAGATGTGATGTCTGCCGGAAATGCCCTATCTTTGGCATCCGTTGGAAATGCATGAACATCGATCACTACAATATCTGCTCTGCATGCTACCATGCGGGCAAGGCTAGCCTTTCACATCAGTTCTACAGGATCGTCATTCCAGGGGCAACAGAGTAGGTCATTTGGTCATTAGGTCATTTTTGTGTTTTGTTTTTTGTTATCAAGTAGCAGGGGATAAGGCTTATCGGTAAAAGGAAGAAGAAGATGGGCCAAGAATTGTCATTCCAATGGCAAAAGGGCAGGTTTTGAGGTTATTTTAAGGAGTTTGTGGTGGGAGGGGGGGGGGGGGGAGGGGGGTGTTAAGGCTAACTTTAGATTAGGGAGTTGATGCGAGAGACTAGATATTTGAATTTTTTGTTTATGAACCCTGTTGGTGGGTATTCTAAATGTAAGCCCCAAGTTTAATGACATTATGGATCCGGCGTCTAGATATAGAATATTTCTTGTGGATACCTGGATGATTTTCTTTCATTCCTTAATTTCAGAGTCCTGATGGAGAAAAGAAATGCAAGCGATCCCATAGAGGTCAAAGGTCTCTTCCCAGGGGCAAAGGTCAGAGTTGGCTCTGACCTCAAAGTTGACAAGGAAGATGGTAAATATCAATTGAAATGAAGCAGAGGAGGAGTCTGCTGTTAATATATAATTACTTGTACGCTGAATCGAATTGAATTTAACTATTTATTTCACATGCTCAAATTTATACAGAAAACAAATAAATTGACAAACTGATCTGGAAACAATATTATGAAAATTGCAAAAAGTTTAGTTACATTATTGATGATTTAACATATTTGACTGTTTGAAAGTGCGTAGACTCATAGAGGCATTGTTAAATATGTGATATGTGCAATACATGTGCAGAACAAAATATTGAGCAATAGTATTGTTCATTTACTGGGTGCAAGCCAAAAGAATCTTTACAAAAAAAAATTGTAACTACTCACTGGAAGCCTAAATTTCATTGTTATTCATAGTTACCAAAATGTTGTTGGTTTTCTGGTACTAGTTAGGAAGCTCTACCAGGGTACACTGAAGAGACTGGAACCCTTTGTGGAAGGCTTCCCAAATACGGGAGCTCTGGTGAACTGGCCCCCTGTTGGCCAGTCCAGGTACAGAGTGGGCTTCAAGGGAATGATGGACCTCAAGACCAAAGAACCTGGACTTGGTGGCATGTGCTACCGGAGTCATCTTCCAGTGCTTGGTGAGTACAGTCCCACCAAGTTACATTTTTTGTTGGTGGAAGATCTTGTAAATTAAGGCATATACAGTCAAACCTGCTTCAGTGACAACCTGTATAGAAAAACCACCTGTCTATAAAAACCACATATTTTGTTTTCCTTGAACACGGTTCCTCATTGAAGACCTGTACATACAGACCACCTGCCTATAAAGACCTCTTTTAAGGCTGCCATTACGGCGCTCTAGCATTTCAAGGAATTAATTCCTGCAGAAGTGACTCTTCAGAATCTACAAGTACATGTAGATCATAAGAATTTTACAAGTTCAAGTTCCCCCGGTGATCTCATGAGTGGAGTATGCCCTTTGCCTTTTTATGAGGTTATAGCACAGTCGTAAGGTCTTCCAAGGGCAATAGTTTTAACTATTGCCCTCAGAGTAGTTAAAGGGAGTGTAGCCTGACGAGACTATGTGTCTTTTCCGTGGCCTGACTCGATAATACGACTACAGACGACGCAACCGCATCAATCACGTTCGTGCAACATAAGCAAAACCGAAGCGTGAGGAGAAAAGAACTGTGTCGCGAACGCCGATCATTTAAAGATTAAGTCACTGACTACCGTTAATCAAGTCCATTCTTTTACGTGCAGTTGTCCAAAAGAAGACGTAGATGGCGTTTACCAGTATTTGCCAAGCTACACTCTCTTTAATATTTATACTATTTTTCTACTTTAGGCCATCCAGTTGAGTTGGAGTGTGTTGAAGGCCTGGTGGTAGGCGATCATGTGATCATCAACATGGAGGAGAATCTACTGCGTGAGCTGCAGGAGGGACATGGAGACTGGGTGCAAGGAATGGCTGATGTGAGTACTAAGAAGCATCCTTTCATGCGAGTTCCCATTGGTACCCCTGGGTAGAGAGAGGCAGTGTAGACAAAATGCCGTCTCTCTCTCTCTCTCTCTACGTCCCATATCCTGAGACGTGGGTGACCATGGAGTGCCACAACTCTCTGTCCCATATTCTATGAAGTAACTCATTCTCCTCGAGATTAATTCCAAATTCAGAAATCCCACTCCTTATGCTACTCATCCACAGACAAGCCTTTTATTAACCGGGCGCCGGGCGATTTTTACCCTACGGTCCCTGACTTTTGGCGCCCGGTAAGACGGGGAAAATGAGTACCGGGCGCCGGTCATTTTTTATTTCTGGCGCCCGGTCTGGGAGAATTAACATTTTCTGTTTCATAAACTTCCACATGTCTAGCACTAAATGTTCACAAATGTGACAAAAACTTACTTGATACAAGTTAAACGTGGACTGAATGAACCCTAACAAATCATTATAATGAGAATCCTAATTAAAATCGCCCAGAAACAATTGCAGCACGAATACGAGCGGCCGCTATCTCCTACTCCTAGCGGAGAACGGAGCACACAATACAGGGGATGTACACCACTCAAAGACGAGCGCATTTCCCCAGCCCTGGGCCCCGTCTTACAAAGAGTTGATATCAATCGTAACTTATTTGCGATTGATATCAATCGTAACTATGTACATAAGAGATAGGAGACTGCAAACTTACGATTGATTGGAGGACTTACGATTGATTTGGATCGATCGTAACTCTTTGTAAGACGGGGCCCAGGCCATGCATACACACACAAATGACATCAGTGCTGTACTGCAGTACACACACAGTGTCAGTACAAGAAAGTCTCGATGTAACTTCCAAAAATCCATCCGAAAAGCCAAATTTTGCTGTCAAAAATGCGGAATCGGAGCCATATTTCCAAAGCTCACGGGGGTTAAGCTCAGTTTTAAGAAACAGTTTCATCAAAATAGCGCTAAAAATCAAGAAATCAGCGATTTTGTTACCAGTTTTTTTGCCTATCGCATGCCCTTCGAATGTAATGGTATCTTCAAAAAAGCAAATGAAAATCAAAACACCGGATCTGCTGATGCATTGACTTTATGTACAAAGTTGATTGCAACTCCAGACTTGCTTGATTCAGCGGCCCTCGTACTCATTGACTAAAATTCTGTGATGTTTTGAATAATGGACTTTTCTGATAAAATAGATAAATATATTTAACAAATCTTTTTTTTTAAATTTTCTAATTATTATTATATTATTATTATTATTATTATTATTATTATTTTTTTTTAAGTGACAGGTCGGTCGTTCTCAATGATTAAATGCGTTTTTATTCAAAGAAACATGAATGCAATAGCATTTTATAGGGAAAATAACAAAAACGTAAAACAGGCATAATCTTTTTTTTTCACCTAAAATATGTTTTTTCAAGCTGAATAATATGTTTTTTTTTGAAAGCGACAGGTTGGAAGCTCTGCATTGTCATTATAGATCTGGTTTTTCTTAAATATTTTTTTATAGAAATAATTTAATTCCCCCCTTCCCAATATTTTTAAATTTTTGACATTTAACGGCATGAAAATAGTATTAAACATGAACTACAACAACTACAAATGACAGATTTATCTAAGGTATGAGTGATTTAATATTAGAGTGCTCAAAATTTAAACTAGAAATTAAACTACCGTATGTATAAATAAAAGGTAACGTTTAACAAATAATTTAAAAGAAAACGGTACATATTTTCATCAGTTTTGGAAACGGCTCCTGGTCCTGGAAAACGGCTCCCGGTTCTCTAAAAAAAATAAGGACCGGGAGCCGCTTTTTCAGATATTTGGCTCCCGGTCTGCTTTGACTTAATAAAAGGCTTGTCCACAGAATCCTCCTTCTACCCCTACTCCTCCTCCCCTCGATTCTTCCAGTCAGTACAAGATTTTCCAAACAATTCTTCCGTGTAACATGGCCAAAGATCAAAGCTCAGCTGTCGACCTCTTTCGTCTTGTTCCTGCCATGGCAAATACCTCATTATTAGAAACTATTTCCGTACTGGAGTTGAAACCCATACATCCCCACTCAAGTATTTGAAAGGCGAAGGCTATTTGAGCTGACATCATCAGGTTTGACTTCAAGAATGAACTGAAAAAGGAGAAACATTGAAACTAACAGATATAGTGTACAGAATGTTGTTTTATACTTGTAGGTGTTTTCTGTCTCTTTTATTTGTCTGAGATAATGTAGATGGAGCTTTTGTTTGTATTTTCATACAGGAAATAGGGCAGGAAGGGGTCATCCGTGACATCACCAGCAACCAAGACATCATGGTCGAATACCCAGAGAGCAGCAGAAAGTGGATATTTCATCCAGCTACTTTGACCAAGGTTAAGGTATACAGAATGATATGATGATAATGATGTTGATTCACAATAATGGTGATGATATTGATGTTTTCGATGATGGTGATGATGGTGATGATGATAGTTGTGGCAATTAATAGTAAGAATGATGATGATGAGTTTGATAATATGATAGTGCTAATGATGATGATGATGATGATGACGATGACGATGATGATGCAGATGATGATGATGATGATGCAGATGATGATGTTGATGATGATGATGCAGATGCAGATGATGATGATGATGTTGATGATGATGATGTTGATGATGATGTTGATGATGATGATGATGATGATGATGATGATGATGCAGATGATGATGATGATGGTGATGATAATGCTGCTGCTGCTGATGATGGAGATGATGGTGGCACATTTGTGCAGTCTGTTCTCTTCATCCCAAACTTCTCCTTATCAAGGGATGAGAGAACCTTCTTAATGGCATCTGTCTTAATTTCCTACATAAGTTTCACTCTACCCGCCCTTAGCTCTCTTTGCTCTGCTTAATAAACATGTATAAGATTGAGCTCTTTTGCTACACAACGCATGCAAGACTTAAGCTATTCATGGTTTTATAACCATTGATCTTCAGAATTATCAGAAAAAGAAACACCGGAGGAGAAAGAAGGATGAGATACATGTATATTTATAATCAATTTTAATATCTTTTATTTGTATATAGTAGTTTATTATGATACATTCGTCAAAAAGCCAGTTCATAGTTGCAGTCTGTGCATGAGCAGATAAAAGGTCATTGCAGACCAAATTATGAAATGCACGGAGCAAAATACTGGATATGTGCTCATGAAAGTTACGTAATCATTATTCATTTGTGCACAAGTAGTGCACTCCATGATACACAGGTGGAAGTATTCTTTGAAAAGGGGAAACAAAGGCTATTTATGTAGCACCTCCATCGCAAAATGAACAAAGTGGTACTTCTTCATGTTTTGAAGATCTGTAGATATTCAGGGTCATTGCTGTAATATGCTAACCGTGAACTGGTCTATTGAGAACTCATTTTGCTTTCGTTCAGGTTCCTCGCAGACTTTCAAGTGTAGTGGAAGTAGACGAGTCTGGGGACTACAAGATTGCAGTAGATAAAACAGTCCAGCAAGCTGTCATTCCAAAGAGCAACAACAGCCATAAAAGACCAGATGGATCTTCAGGTAAGTTGGTACAGATCATGGGGATCTTTCAATATGCATCCACCAATACCGGGTATGCAAAATTGAGGAATAGTGATAATGATGAAGATGACGATGACGAATACGACAATGGCGATGATGATGATGATGATGATGATGATGATGATGATGATGATGATGATAATGATTATAATAATAATGGTATCAATATTGATAATTATTTGTTTTTAAAAAATAATACGAAGAAGAATTTGAAAGTATATAGGAACGGCGAAATTGACTTTGTTCAAATTGCCTGAAAAAGCTACTGGATTTATTTTGGAAATATCATTCTTTCTACTTCTTCATTTGGATTTGTTGGCCAGGTGCCTCAAAGTCCTCTGACCAGAGAGGTAATGTACGGATCCACGAGGTCAGCATGCGGGTCGGACTGAAGAAGAGTAAGGATTTGTCTGAAGCTGTAGCCGTAGCCATTGCTGCAGCCCAAGGCAATGAACAGAACGTCCGAGGGATTTTGAAAGACCATCCAGATTGGGTAAGTCCAACATGATACCATTTTCTGAAGCCGTAGCCATAGCCATTGCTGCAGCCCAAGGCAACAAACAGAATGTCAGAGAGATTCTGAAAGGCCATCCTGAATGGGTAAGTCCAACATGATACCATTTTCTGAAGCCGTAGCCATTGCTGCAGCCCAAGGCAATGAACAGAATGTCCGAGAGATTCTGAAAGGCCATCCTGAATGGGTAAGTCCAACATGATACCATTTTCTGAAGCCATAGCCATTGCTGCAGCCCAAGGCAATGAACAGAATGTCCGAGAGATTCCGAAAGGCCATCCAGAATGGGTAAGTCCAACATGGTACCATTTTCTGATGGTGATTTTAGCCTGTCTTTAATGTGAACTGGATGGGTAAGTGCTAATGTTGAAAGATGCTGGAAAATGCAAGACAACGTACAGAATGTTACAGAGATTCCGAAACACCAACCTGAATGGGTGAGACCCATGATAAAATCTTAGCCCATTTTCATTGTCTTCCTAACAATATATCATTGAAATACATCATGGACCTCAAGAATCTACACGAAAAACAGAAAACTGATGGACAAGGACCCAAATAAATGTTACCCCGGTCCCTTGATTATTGTTATTATCTATCAACATTATTACGATTATTATCATCATCTTAAAATACAGGTTAATTCCCCATGCAATGAGAAGAGCCCTCTACAGCTAGCCGTTCATGGCGGTTTCATTGACGTTACCAAGTTTTTGATAGCAGCCGGAGCTGATCTAGATATGACAGATGAAGATGGAGATACCGCTCTTATGTTTGCTATTTATGGGTAGGTTGTTCTCTACCCTTATAAAAAAAGTACCATGAAATTACCATGGTTTGATACCATGGTTACCATGGTTCTTATGGTGGATGGTAATTTAGACAAAGAACCATGATACCATGGTACTTTTTTTAATAAGGTAAACAAAAATACCATAAAATTACCATGGTTAGATACCATGATTACCATGATTCTTATGGCGGATGGGAATTTAGACAAAGAACCAAGGTTACCATGGTACTTTTTTAATAAGGGTGGCAGAAGGGTGTTTCAATACAATTTTAGTTTCTATCTTCATATTATGTCGCAAAACTCAAATACACTGTATTAAAGGTATAGGCCAGTTCTGGTACGTCATGCTATTGCATTGTGAAAGAAACGTTGTGGAATCAATCAGAAAAGGTTAATCATCTAGCATATAAGTATTGGTTAAGTATAAGGCGGTTTCCCGGCAAAATTTGTATCACCACGTATTATTAAAAACATATTCTTTCACATGTTTGGTAATAAGAGCTTCCATTTCATTTTTCTCAAACTGGTTTGATTGCTTTTTCACTTTATCGTTTCTTCTGTATCTTTTGCAGCAACCATCCAGATATTGTCAAGTATCTGCTTTCCAAAGGAGCCAACATCAATATCGTCAATAAAGAGAGACGTTCGGCATTGCATCAGGCTGTGACAAGGTGCTACATAGAATGCATGAGAGTGCTCTTGGCACATCATTGCGATGTGAACATACAGGTACGTGTTCTGCATGTATTTTAGGATTTTATCTCGATAAAGAGTGCCTCATTAAATATTGAGGTACGATGTATACTGACCAAAATATTCAGAAGAAGTACAGGCCTAGGCATGTTTTTTAATACAGTCAAACCTGTCTATAGCGACCACCCAAGTGAAACACAAAAAGTGGCCTTTGTAGACGGGTAGTCTTTGTAGACAGGTTCCTTTAGTACATGATTGTAATAAGCATATATAAAAACCGAGTACTATTATAATTATTTTTATGATTCAATGAGAAACCATTTTCAAGGGAAACAACAAATGTGGCCTTTGTAGACAGGTGGTCACTAAAGCAGGTTTGACTGTAACAATAACAATAATACTGATATTTTTACAGCACTTAATATTTATGTTTTAAAGTGCTGTACTATTATTATTTGTACTATATTTTTGTACTCTGTTTTGTGTGGTATAAACCAACATTTTGTGGATTCTATGACCACTATTAACATAATTGCTTATTTTAACATTTGTTGTTGCCTTATACAAAAGAAGGAAAACCTTGGAGTTACAAGAAAACAGAGAACAGTGCATTAACTGATTTAGGCCTTAAAGGGACTTGTTAACATTGTCTCAGATTCTGAAACAAAATCCTGGATTTAGCTCATGCTGCAATGATAATTATAACCCTTTAGGTCAATCAGGAACCCCATGACTTTTACGAGCCGATCAGCTGTCTGATTATCAAGATATTTATGTTTGGAAATCAAAATCAAATTTTGCGTTTTCCTAACTACAGTCTATCAGGGAAAATGAGTACCGGTATGGTAAAACCGGTCACTCAAAGATATTTACTTTTTTGAGGCACTTCATGATCATTTTGAAGTGCAATTTTTTCGGGGCTTCAATATAACACCATATCACAGACACTGATCACAATTAGGGCCATGCATCTCAGATTTAACATTGTTAAACAATGCCTTTAAGGAATCTATGAACTGCTATCGGTTCTTACACCATACAGGATAACTTTGGCGACACCGCCCTTCATGATGCCATCAGCGGTCAGAGCAATCCAGTCCTGTCTCTACTCCTAGAGAATGGAGGCATAAACTTCAAGCTGAGTAACAAGAGACAATTCAATGCTCTTCAGTGGGCAGCCATGAAAGGCAATCAAAAGTGAGTATGTTTGGTAGGGTCTGTTAAAGAGGGGTTGGAGGAGGGCGGGGCAGGGGAAAGGGGGACTAATGTGGCTTGAAAATTACCTTTTTTTTCTCTTCCGAAAAGATTTGACGCCCATGCAATAACTCAATGGTTTGGCATTTGGGCTCATTTATAGTACCCCCACTTATGGATGGTGATGTTGATGTTGATGATGATGGTGGTGATATTGATGATGATGATGATGATGATGATGATGATGATGATGATGGCGATAATGATGATGATGATGCTGTTGATGATGATGATAATGATGATAATGATGATGATGATGATGATGGTGATGGTGATGATGATGATGGCGGTGATATTGATGGTGATGATGATGATGATGATGATGATGTTGTTGATGATGATAGTGATGATGATGATGGCGGTGATATTAATGATGATGATAATGAGGAGGAGGAGGAGTATGATGATGATGATATTGATAATGATGGAGATGTTGGTGGTGATGATATTGATGATGAAGATGATGTTGATGATGATGATGATGATAATATTTATGTTAATGAAAATGATGATGATGATGATGATGATGATGATGACGATGATAATGATAATGTTGATGATGGTGATAATGTTGATGATGATGGTGAAGACAATGATGATGATGGTGATGATGATGATGATGAGGTTGATGATGATGATAATGTTGATGATGGTGATAATGTTGATGAAAATGATGAAGACAATGATGATGATGTTGGTGATGATGATGATGATGATGATGATGATAATGATGATAATGTTGATGATGATGGTGATGATGGTAATGACAATGATGATGACGGTGATGATGATGTTGATGATAACGTTGATGATGTTGATGATGTTGATGATGATAGTGAAGATAATGATGGTGATGATGATGATGGTGATGATGATGATAATGTTGATGATGGTGACGACAATGATGATGATGGTGATGGTGATGACGATGATGATAATGTTGACAATGATGGTGAAGACAATGATGGTGATGGTGATGATAATGATGGTGACGACATAGATGATGATGATGGTGATGATAATGATGGTGACCACATAGATGATGATGGTGGTGATATTGATGATGATGATAATGATAATGAGGAGGAGGAGGAGTATGATGATGATAACAATGATGACAGCAACAACAAGAGCAATAATAATGGTGATGATATGGCTTTATCTATAAGCAAATACAATGTATGCATCACAGCCCAAAGACTAAACTGTAAATACTTCTGTATAAAGGTAGCACATGGTAGAACTTTATCTGTATTTAAGAAACAATTAATTATCTAAATATATTACTCATTGCAGATGTACGTAGTATCAAAAACAATATCTCTAGTGATATTCTCTTATCTCGCAATGTATGGTCAACAAGGGATCTAAGAGATCATGACGTTTCGTGAGCCACTGCAACACTTCGTCAGGTGATAAAATACAATGTAAGCAAGCGTGTTTTATACTCCACAGGCGGACCGTCGGTCAAACGCATATCACTAGCGATATCATTTTCGATAAATAATTATCTGATGAGATAATATTTTCCTCTCTTTATATGATTAACGTATCTTTCTGTCTTTGTCTACCCACAGTGCTATCCAGAGAATTTTGAACATAGACCCAGAATTGGCAGGTCTAAGTAACACGGATGGACGAACTGCCCTGCACATTGCCGCAAGAAACAACTTTGAGGATATCGTCAGGCTCTTGATTGTCAAGGTTTGTAGACAGATTTAATTTAATTGAGGATAATTCCAGGTAGGCCTCTATATGTTGAAGAGCATGAAATGTTACTCCAGATTGATTTGTTATATATGAATGATTAGTTCATCGCTTGATTAGGCTGATGTAAGGATTGATTTATTCATTGATAGAGTGGATTGTGAGACATTTATCAGTTAATTGATTGATTCACCGATTGATCGACTGATTGCTAGATTGTTTGATAAATTATCAAGTGAATAATTTACTGCTTTGTTGACTGATTGACTAATTGATTGATTGATTAATCAATTGCGTGGATGATTAATTGATGGGTGCATGGATATAGGCCTATGCGTTAAATATTTATTAGATTTACTGATTGAGCAGTAGATCGATTGTTTGAGAAATGGCAGTTCTGTTTTACAGAGTGATGCCTTATTTACTTCATGTAGTACATGTATTTGCTGATGTCATTGCATATACTTGAAGTTTTCACGTACCTTAGGAATCTATAGAGGTAGTTATTTACACAATCTACTTGTAGATATCATCTTTACATAATAAACATTTCCACTTCTTAAAGGTAATACAAAGTTTTGGTATGGGGTCATCAATTTGGTACAAATGAACATATTGGAAGCATATGCGATCCTACGATATTCAGTGATCGTTATAAATAATAAACTCTTTATGTTGTATAGCTCCCTCTCAAGGTCAAGATATTAATTAAGCTATAAAACAATGTTTCTGGACTAAATCGGTCGATTAGCGATTCCTGTTTGGAAATTATTTATCACAACTGCATATTCTAAGATTTTCATGGTCGCAGCTACCATTGTACAGCCAAAGGTGCTATTTGAAATTTATCAAAATTTACCGGGAGCATCGGTAAATTTTTCTCTAAAGCAGAAGTGTTTTAGGGGCTAAATTTTCTAGTGCTTATAATACATCCACAGGGGCATCCAAATATATCATAATTGTAAAGAATCACTATATCCACCCAATTTTCAAAATTTCCCCAAAACTGTGTATTACCTTTCAAGTTAATATGCTCATTGTACTATGCTGACTGCTTCGCACGCGCTATCGATTGCACCATCGGATTATCTTGGCGCAGGGGAGATTTGTGGCTTGGCACAATGGGGATTAGCCCTGTGGCACTGGGCTGTATTAATTACGGCAGGATAAGAGTTAATATGCCTTTTTTTTCTCCAGGGTGAGTGCAGTGTAGATGACTACACAGTGGATCGCCAGACCCCGCTCCTATTGGCCGTCAGGGCGGGTCACATAGAGACCTTGGAGGTGCTTCTCAAGCTGTGGGCCAATGTGAACTTGCCCGATGCTGATGGAGACACCAGCTTGCATGTCGCCCTTTTGAGGCAGGTCATATTCCCGGATGTTACTGAAACAAATCTTCTCGAAAAGGTTAGTTAATTGCCAAATGTACCCAGTAATAATAATAATAATAGTTCGTCCTTATATAGCGCATTTCATTTGTTGTCAGGATTTGTTTCACATGCGCGATTCTAAAGGAGATGCAATATACACTATGTGCATCCATCCACAGAAGTGGCATCAAATGAATAAGTGGTTAAAACATTGCATGCAAAAGAATGGTGCTTTCAACATCCAGATGACAACCCCCCCCCCTCAAGACTGTCATCATTAGACAATTACAGTACCCCCTCCTTCTGCTGAACATTACACGCCCCCCCCCCCCCCCATGAATGTCCCCTTCAATAAAACTCTTCTAGGAAAATTACCTCCAGACATATACTCCCCACCCCTCCCCCCAATTGTTTTTATTGTTTAAATAGGATAACAACAAAGCCTAGTTGAATGGGAGGGGGGAGGGGCCGGGTAGTTAGGTGATTGACCTGGGGATTTGTTGTCAATATCATACAAAATTTATAGCAAAATAAACATAGAGATGGATGTATTAATGGATTTTTGTGCACTTTTTTTTCCAGATCCGATCCAGGATTCCTGATCAGTCTGTGGCGACCTCTGGTCTTGCCTTAGCCTGTCTTTTGGTCGAGTACAAAGCTGACCTTTGCCATGTCAACAACAAAGGCCAGACTCCTCTCGACATTGTCCCAGATACTAAGATTCATGCGGTGCTCAGGCACTTCGTTCCAGCAGCTGGAGGGTATGTGTCTGAGCCAAAGTAGATAAATAAATGTTTATACTGATGCAGGATAATCGTGCACAAGAGTTAAAAGTATGAAAATGGAGTGTGGCCCTGTTCTTCTTTTACACTGTTTATACTGTACGGTGAATATTGACATACATTTGTATTTTAAAAAGTCATTTGTATTTTTAAAAGTCATTTGTATGAAGTTCAATATTAACAAAGGATGCAAGAATGCTCTACGCATTTAGGTATTGCTATCTACTTGGGCAGAGCCCAGGAAAAGGGTGATTGTTATTACATACACATCTTGACTTGATATATATATGTACTCCTCCTGACGCTGTCATGAATGTAACTTTCTCTTCCTCCCCCTTCCTCCTGTCCCTTCTCTTCCTATGTCCTTTTTTCTATCTTTCTTGCTTCCTCTCCTAATTTTTATGCATGGCTTCATATTGTTTGTATCCTTCTTTTTATTTTTTAAGAGGACGTCACTTCAAGCTTACGCTTAAGACGACCCCTTTTCTGTATATACTATGTCATTATCATACCTCTAAAGTTATGAGATTGTAAATGTATATATGTTAATGTATATAGAATAAATAATCATTAATCATGAATTCAAATCTGATCAAATCAAATCAATAACGATACCGATCACACAATCGCAAAGGCTTGAGTAAAATCAACCAAAAGGCAAGTTCAGTTGACTTGTTTATCATCATCATGCCCAGCCCCCCCACTCAGTGTTATTTAGGGTACGCATATGCTTGTTCCCTCTTTTTGAAAGCACCCCCTTTCTGAGCACTGCCAACATTTCCGAACCCCCCTTTCGCGGGCTTTTCGCTGGCTTTTCCTGCCTTGGAGACCCCCCTAAATCATGAAAAATGCTCAATGTACCCCCCTAAATTCAGAAAATTTTCTCAGGAGTCCAAGGAGATGAGAGAAAAAAAGCAAAATCTCCAGGTGAAAAGTGAATACACCCCTTTTTTTACAATTCTCGGGCCGGACTTTGTCACACGAAAAGTACCCCTTCACCGGACATTTTGGTAACACGCATGGGGTCCGTCCGTTCTCGGAGTGGGGGGGCCGGGGTCTCATGCTCTGTCAATGATTGCTCTGCAGGCGATTTATAACTACAACCCTGAACCAAACACTAAACCTTATACTATAACCCTCAACAGCGGCCACAGTTTCTTTATCCCCCTCAGGGTCCTGAAAAGACGGGTTTAACTTTACTATGATTAATGTTAATTTGACAGAGATGTCTTGGAAATCATTGCTTTTGCTTTGTCAGGCTATTGATTTGATTTTGATTTTGATTTCTGTTCTGCTTTATAATCCAAAGGAGTCCTGGTCGACTAGGTGACACAGAAAGTCTTGAAACTGCACCATCTATTCCAGGAGATGGCTTTGATAAGTTGCCGAGACAAAATGAAACTGACCAAGAGCGAGCGCAACGGGAGAAAATAGAGTATTACGAAGGTCAGTTAGGAGGCACGCGTCCTGACCCAGAGGGGAGGGATAACCGGTTTGCAGATTCGAGGCCAGGGGTCAGAGGATACGGAGAGAATCGGGATGAGGGTACTGTAGCTGGTGATCGTAAGGAACCCCAGAGTAAGGTGGATGGTGGTGGTGGAGCAGGGGCAAGGCAGGAGCACATCCAGCTGCAGCAGGATAAAGAGAAGCAGTGTCGTCTAGCGCCATCTTGGAGTATGCCTGGAAGTGAGGATGTTACCGTTGATCCTGCACATCGTCATGGTGATGATGATGGTAGCCAGACTCCAGCTCACATCGCTAAGCAACAGATGGAGGAGATGCGGATATCGGAGGATCATCAAGCAGCATCACGAGATAAACCGTTTGCTGATCCTGCAGGTGATTCAGCATCCCACCGCCTTGAAGATAACCGTGGCCAAATACCAGAACACATCACCAAGCAAGAGAGCCAACTTTTGGCCCATCAGCAAGCACTTCGTGGTCCTGATGCAGTTACAACTGCACGTGATGATAACCAAGACCGTATCACAGGACAGGATCTTGATCATATTGCTATGCAAACAAGGAAAGAATGTCAGTTCAATCCAGCCTCACCCCAAGACCCTCAAGATGCTCCTTCGCCCCTCCGTCCTCCCCTCCCGCAGCTTGACCTGAGCCCACAACAGCAACGGTATCCGCATCGGCAGCCAGCTCCAGATACCACGCCCTCCCCCATCTCGATCCAGTCTACTCCTACTCCTACCAGCCTGATTCCCAACCTGGCCCGGTGTCGGCTAATTGCCTGTGGTGGCATTGCTGATGCCCAGTTTAAACCCTGTGGCCACACCATTGTTTGTTATAGATGCTCCCAATGCTTCAAGCTGTGTCATGAATGCAAGGCAAGTACAGGAATCACTTCAGTCAATAAGTGAGATAGAGGGAGTGCATATAGTTGGGCTGTACATGCAACCTGCACCTTCAAATCCTGGGGGGTGTTTCACAAAACTTGTCATCAGTGGCAAATGACAGTTTTTGTTATAAGCTACTGAAATCCTTGCTTCCGATTGGTTAACAGCAAATTTGTCACTGGTTTTTGTCATTTGTCATTGAAAAAAGGCTTTGTAAATCAGGTCCCAGGTCTGATCTTGCTCATTAACTTTATAAAATCCTTACTCGGTTCCAAATTGGTCTGGTAAATCATTATAAAGGAAATCAGTCAAATCCATCCAAGTTTTTTACACCATTAAATGTTGTTCTTTTCTTTTAATGGGATTTGCAACATACATGTAAGTTACAATACTAGGCAGATTTGTAGATATACATACAAAAATATTGGAAAACTACCATTGCTTTATGTTAAAAGATGACATATCATATTAAAGGTATAGACCAGTTTTGAAACCACCCTCTCAAAAAATGAAATGCCATCTAAGCCTCTGAAGGCAATATATAAACAATATTGAATGGATATTTTGTACCCATAGCCCTTGAACCGCATTTTTACCACTACTGGTCTATACTTTTAAAGTTGTTCAACATCTGGCCCTCTGTTGATGAGCATGATTCAAAATCTGTGTCCGACTCGGCTCAAAACCTTCAGTCTAGCAATTTTGAAACTGGTTGTGCATCCAATCTAGAATACTTTTAGATAGCTTCAAAAGTTTCACACATTTAAAGTACAAAAAATGGACTTAGTCTTACTACCTCAGCGTCAGTCAATAAGCACATTTGGAGTGCATATATGCGCACTATAACATCACTTATACAAATACAAATATCACTCGCACAAAATGGTGTAGTGGTCATGGACTCACTAAAAGTATCATGCACACAAATTGTTTTTTTTTGTCTCTAAAATGTTAAAGTTTGCAGATGAAATATGCCGTCTCAAACGTAAGATATTATTATATATGTGATTTCCTCTGAGGAAAATTCTAATTTACTTTTTGTTTTCCCTTTGTCAAATCAGAAACCCATAGAGAGTGTTTCGCAGCCGAGCCGACGATTTCCAGCATTTTCCAACTACAATCCTAACATGGGTCAACAAACACCAAGAGCAGGAGGTAATTACTTCAGTATTGAACACACATGGCATTGGTGTATCCAGGGAAAAGGGCACAGGGGCACCCCCCCCCCTCGGAAAACCCAATCTGGCATACAAGTACCTTTAGTACCCCTTAAATGTGACCCAAGCAATTTAAGACACCCCCCCCCCCCCCCCTGCATCTGAAAAAAAATTATTTGTCTTTGAGCTTCTAAGTGACCCCGTCTCCCCTATAATGATATGCTATCCATAATATACTTTGAGTAGTGCCCCAAAGGAGGAGGCACTTAGAAGAAAAAAAATACATTTTATGAATGACATAAACAGGAGAGTTATCAGCCACTACGTCACAGTCCACTGACCAAACTGCGAATTTGAGACTCGCATAGACTTGGTGATCTCATATTTCAAACATTCTTAACTTTCTTATTATTGGTCCAATGTATTTCAAACTTTCGGCATTTAGTTCATCTTATTTTTCTGCTTTCGTAAACATTAACCTATTACAAGGGTTGGGTTGCACCAGGCTCTAATCTATTGTAGTATCAAGTGAATTTATTTTTCTTTGTATGCGATGAAGTACATGTATCTGTAACAATATTAAATCTGAGATGCACGGCCCTATGTGTTATCAGTGTCTGTGATATGGTGTAATATTGAAGCCTTACAAAAGTTGCGCTTCAAAATGATAAAGAAGTACCTCAAAAAAGTAAAAATCTTTGAGTGACCGGTTTTATCATACTTGTTTTCCTCAATAGACTGTAGTGTTATGAAAACCGTTAGGAAAACGCAAAATTTGGTTTTGATTTCCAATCATAAATATCTTGATAATCAGACAGGCGATCGGCTTGTAAAAGTCATGGGGTTCCTGACTGACCTAAAGGTTTATAATTATCATTGCAGCATGAGCTTTCAGAATCCGAGACAAAGTTACCGGATCCCTTTTAAGGTTTTCCATTCTTCATTTTCGTTTCACAGCTGTTGCTGCACCGGGCGCAACAGGAGATCATCAATCAGGAGCAAGAAGAAAGATCTTTGAGCCAGCTGATGCCGATTCCGAGTTGACTAAATCCATCCTCATCCAGAAGAACCAAAAGCTGGAGGAAGAGATGCTGTGCCCGGTCTGTATCGACCAAAAGAGGGAGTTTGTCTTCATGTGCGGACATTCGCTATGTGAAGTTTGCACCAGTTCCATCGACGATTGTCCTATGTGTAGACAACCCATCCTCAAGAAAATTAAGATGTATTAACAAAAGAGGGAGTTTGTCTTCATGTGCGGACATTCGCTGTGTGAAGATTGCACCTGTTGCATCGAGGATTGTCCTATATGTAGACAACCCATCCTCAAGAAAATTAAGATGTATTTACAAAAGAGGGAGTTTGTCTTCATGTGCGGACATTCGCTGTGTGTAGATTGCTCCTGTTGCATCGAGGATTGTCCTATGTGTAGACAACCCATCCTCAAGAAAATTAAGATGTATTAATGGATTTAGGATATATGCTTCAGTGACATTTGCTCCTACTCTAACCAAAATTCTTAAATTCAAGCCTGGACCAAACGCTATACCATACCCTAACCCTATGTCTTTGACGAAATAAAGACGAGAGTTTTGAGCCGGAGAAAATGTTGGAGCACCTTGGTGGTTGGTCATCCTTGGCTGCACAAGTGTATTTGAAGGAAGGAGGGGCTAGGGGGGCAATTTCTCTCCTCCCCCCCTTCCCTGAAGAATTGTCAACCATAAGGAAAGATTTTTCTGCACAAAGTACGACAATACTCTTTTAGAGGGATGTACTACAATGGAAGAAGAAGAAGATTATACATGCAAATGACTTTGTAATTGCTATGAAGAAATCAGTACAAGACGAATTATATTCAAGTTGCTCTGAAAGCATGATTAAGTTGTGGATGATGTGTAAGAAGAGAAATGTTCTTGCTCAGTCGCAATGTGGACTTTCAAAACTGCGTTAAGCAGAGAGCAAGCGTATTCCTTGTCTGTAACATGTGATGGTAACTAATACTAATGATTACTGATTATATGTAACTTTTATGGTGATGATAATCTAGAATTTGAATTCCAAGGCACCTAAGGAAAGATTAAGATGAAATTAGAGCTCCAAATAATGCATCACCTATGTGTTCAGCACTGATATAGAAAGAAAGACAAGTATTTATCTTAGATTTGAAATTTTCTAAGGAAGTAAGAATGTAGTTCTACTGTCAAACCTGCTTTAGCGACTTCCTGTATAGAAAGACCACCTGTCTGTAAAACCATATTTTTCATTTCCCTTGAATATGGTTTCTCATTAAAACCTGTAATAAAGGAACCTGTACATAAAGACCACCTGTCTGTAAAGACCCCTTTTCATGTTCAGTTTCCGTTTTATTTTTTATTTCCAACAGAACGGTTATTGTGACAAGAAATCAGATATACAATTCGACATTCAATAATATAATAATTTTACATGGTTTAAAGTTATGAAATAGAAAGTATACATAGATATCCAGTATAATTTGTTTTTAAAGCTTTTTGAGATAAACCTGTGGAAAAGGAGAGATCCACTGAAAAGCAGAGCTTGTAAAATGTGGATCCCTCAAAATAATGACAAACATAATTTTCGTAACATGTAAATATATCATTGTATACAGGTTTCACTGTATAATATTACCGGTAATGCCACATTCATGTACAAGAAAGCCGTTTTTGCTGCATTCAATGAACGTCATCATAGAAATATCTAGTAGATGAATCTTTGATTTAGGAATGATTCCATTTAATGTTTTCATTTTTATTTCTGATTGTTACATATATCTTGCCATAAAATTCTGCACAAGATTGCCAAGTATAATACTTAAATGAATAGGAATATATATACGATAAATGGTGTAAAATTTATAAAAAAATAATTCTATTAAACTTTTACTACATGTACATGTACATGCATGTATAAAATCATGCATTATTTGCAAATTATACCATAGGTAACCCTTCATGCATTTAAAAATGTTGAATGAAATGAGTGATTCAATGGGGTTCTACCAGTATTCAATTTCTTACCTCTGTCTGTAGAGGAGTTGGTATATGGGATCTGTTGGTTTATCTTGTAGTTCCAACTATTTTAAAGATTAAACAAAAATTTATGTTACTATCATCCAAGGAATAATTAACAGTATCATTTGCAAATTATACACTAAAGTATAAACCTTTCAGTATTTATACATGCTTAGAACGAAAATGGATATTTATTGGGTTTTCTGTTTTTTTATTTGTTTTTTATGCCTTTGTCTGGAGAGATGTTTCTATATCAGATCAGCTGGTATATCTTGAAGTTTTTACAATTTTAAAGAATTACCTTTGAATTCATTTGATTATGTCAGAAATACGGCGTTTGGATGAAATAAATCTTAATGATTGCAGTGTGAAAGATGCAGTACTATTAAGTGTGATCGTACTATGCATTTAAAGTATTCCAATCACTTAAAGTCAAAGAGATTTGCAAATCTAAATATACTCTCAACATTATAGCAAATTTTTAGTAGACTACTTGATGTACCTGTACATGCTTGCATAATAGAGGGCCTGTATTGAACCGAATTCCGAATTTGGTTCTGTGTGTGCAGTTTTATGATATTTGATATGTCCTTCATACTTCTTATCGGGTAGCCCCCAAAAATGTTGGATGCAGTTTGTTTGGTTGATTTTATACATTAATTTTTGTCTGTACACAAATTATTTTGTAGGTGATTGGTAACATTCAAGTGTGCTCATTTCTATAAAACTCTCTTCCGTTTACATGTATTACTTTCCCTATTAATTGTTGAATTTGAATTCAAGTAAGCTCGTATGAGCTTTACAAAGTCTTTCAAATCACTCTGTAAATATTCTGTCATTTTTTCATTTTGTTATTAAGTACCATCCATGATGGAAGTGTCCTGTGTGACCTTTTATATTTGTTGTTAACCCTTTCGGGACAGGATTTTTAATCAGGGCTAAATTGATCACATATTGTTCTTCAAATTGGCAACAATTATATATTTTTGGCATTGCTACATTGTTTAAACAATACGTGGTATCTCTGATAACAAAATACAAGGTCAAGAATGTTGTCAAAAAGTTGAAAATCACCAATGTTGATAGAAAAACAATGACCTTGAAACTCTTAACATGTAGCCAATTTGAGGATTATAAAGCTTATTTTCATTAACAAAATTTCTAGCATCAAATGCAGTATAGGCATGAAACAAAAATGTATGTTGTGTGTTCAGAAATTTTGCACTTTCTACTCATGCATGTGGCCAATTTTTAGGGCTCTGATTCCAAAGTTATTGAGCCAAACCACAAAATGTGGCATGATTGTTGTGAAATGGTTAATTATTGATTGAATAATGCATTTATTTACTGTGATAGCGTGAAGATTGCAACATGTTAAATCCATTCAGGGAGGCGCGATGGCTCAGTGGTAGAGCAGTGGTCGCGTAACCGAGAGGCCCCGGGTTCGAACCCAAGTCAATGCGCTTGTGCCCTTTGGTCAGGTAATAATCCTCATTACCAAGTCCCTCAGAGAGGACTTAAAACCATTGGTGCCCTTGTTGCTTACTTGCAAGCATATACTTGATTTCTTAGCAGTCAGGTAAAACAATCATTGATCCTGCACGATAACATGTGTTCCTTTTGCCACACTTCTCACGGCAGGATCAAAAGCCAAAAGGGTTAATCAATCAATGCAAATTTGAATTTTTGATTAGCATTTTTTTATTTCCACATCTCCATCTTAAAAACATTTATAAAGCGTTACAAAATTTATGTAAGAAGTATAGCATGGTGCAGTGGTAATATGTTGAAAGTACTATGGAATATTTACCTTGATCAAAGATGCGTATTCTACCACTTTAGTTATGCCCAACCTGGGCCCCAAATCACAACGCTTAGCAACTGATTGTTCGATTGATTTTTTTTCTTCAATTGATTGCACATGTGATCAATGCAATCAATCACAAATATCAGTCGTATACCACATTTATCAAGTGGATAACTTTTAAACCTCAGATTGTTACCTGATTTTAAACAAAAGCCTAAACCCAACTGATGTTTAATCGTTTGTGCATATCATTGCCAATAGGTATTCCTCTTAATTATGACTTGTAGTTTTAGGTTTAAATCATACCTTGGAAATCATACCTTAAAGGCACACTGCCATACTTGTAGCTACTTGCTCCCTCTATATAGAAAACTTCCCCAATCGGTGCCTGTTGGTCCCCATGATCCTCTTTTTCTTATGTTAAATGAGAGCTGAGTTAATGAGATAGCCACCTGTCACAGTGACCTCGACGGCTCGCTGTGTGGTCTAATCCCTTCTTGCCCAGTAGTGGTGACGGTCTTTAAAAGTGGGCTTAACCAAACTCTAAAGCACCCCCTTTTACCAAGGAAGGGGGGGGGGTGTTTGAATTCCCCAAACACCCCCCCCCCTCGCTATACGCCAATGCATGTACATGTATATTTTGGTACTGTTAAGTTTCACTCTGTACATAGTGTGTATAATTCGTGAAATTTTACACAACCATAACCTTCCTTTTAAAGATTTTGAACAATTTGTCATCAGTTATGTGCCTGTCCTAAAGAGAGGATTTGTTTTTGTAATGCTATATTTCAAATAATGTTTTGAATGTGTACAGTATTTTTAATACCAGAATTGAATAGGGAATGCTTTGTTTTAGTAAGAATATAAATTTGAGCAATATGTGAATGCAACTCTTACTTATAAAGTAATGAATTATGTCTAATATATATATATAGTAAGAATATATGTGGACTTGTGTACTAAATTTCAAGTACTACTGGTTCGAGTCCCACCACGGCACTATTATGTCATTTGGCAAACCATTAACCTACGATTGTCACTCTCCACCCAGGTGTTAAATGTGTACCGCTAAGGAAGGAAGGATTTCTATGCTGCAATCACCAAAAACGGTAGCTTAGCAGAACCAGGGTAATATTGGAGCACCTTGAGCACCTTACGTGGTTGATAATTATGTGCGCTATAAAAAGATATAATTATTGTTATTATACAGTGCGTCCCAGAAAAAACGAAACCGAGAATTATCGATGTTTTATCATAACTTAATCACAATTATAATTGATAAATGACACATATTTGGAAAGCTTAGATCCCCCTCTTTTATTTGATGCCACTTATATGATGCAAATTTCATGCATGAGTGATTAAAATAAATTTGAAGAGAGGAAACCAAAAAATCGTTTTAGTTTCCTCTCTTCAAATTCATTTTAATCACTCATGCGTGAAATATGCATCATAAGTGGCATCAAATGAAAGAGGAGGATCTAAGCTTTCCAAACATGTGTCATTTATTAATTATAAATGTGAATAAGTTATGATAAAACATCGATAATTCTCGGTTTCGTTTTTTCTGGGACGCACTGTACAGCTACCATTTTTAGTGTTCATGATGTTTTATACCTCTTGTTGAGAAGGGCCTTAAGTCTTTTATAAGACTCAAGGCCCTTTATAACTAACGATTTGAACTTTATTTGTACAGCGAGAGAGATATATGTATTATATCTCTATACTATAATATATATATATTATCTCTCTCTCTTTCTCTATGCTATCCATAATAAATATGAACGAATATTTAAATACTATATGATGTAAGATATTAAAACTCAAAACGCATTGTCGTGTTATTGCTTCATTTTTGTACATGACTCGAGATGAGACTGATGGAATGAAAAGGATAAAGTGAAGAGGAAGAGAGACAGAGAGAGATTATAGGCTACAGGAGGATGTTGAATTTGGTGTTGACCAGGGGAGTGTTTCACAAAGACTAAGATCGACTTTAAGTTGGACTTACTGTGACAGGCCATTTATGCCACTGGTTGCTCTCGCCATGATCTTAAGATAATAATTTTGTCCTTCAATAATGAACTATCAAATATTGTCAATTCTGTAGATGTGTGACCCTGATTGGTACGTCCCTTGAAGAAACCAAAGCCAGTGAATGGTGAGAGAAAACGGTAGCATGAACGGCTTAATTGCCGTAGTTAAGTCCAACTTAAAGTCGATCTTTGTGAAACACTCCCCTGAATTCCTATTTAGAAAGAGATCGAGAGAAAACAGGTAGAGATCGAGGGAGAGAGAGAAGGGGAGAAATAAAAGTTGATGACATTTCACATTTAGGCCTAACAAATCGAAACGGTGTATGCTGCTCTGAAGGGAAAATACGAAATACAACTTAT